AAATTTAAAATCATAACAGAGCATAAAAAAAATAGTACTATCAATTTGTATGTCTCATTTGTCTCATTAAGAATATTGTACATGACTGTACTTAAAAAAAAAAATTTTCTCATAGAATGTTACAGCATAGCAACATTCACAAACCACAATCATTTGATTGGACCTACAGTGTAACAGCTATATACTGAAACACTATTACTACCTGTGTTGTCTACTGTACAAAGTCGACAAGCTTACAAGAGTAAAAGCAATGAAATCCATGAATGTGTAACAAATGTGAAATGACCAACTGAAATATAATCAGCTTTGGGGAAAAGAAAAAAAAAATACTACTGTTCATTACTAATAGAAACTTCAGTAATGACCACTACTCCAGGGAAACGAAACAATTACAGTTAAAAATGAGAATCATACCACAGTTGCTATTATCACCTTACAAACAAACTAATATAACAGTGGAGAACTTCTGTTAAGAATTTGGTTCCTGATCAGTTTGGGAACACATATAGCACTTTATACATTACACACACTAACCTCGCAGTGATAATCAATTATTGCACTTCCAGCAGTATTAGCCAATTCTCCTGTTTCAGCACACGTTTCAAAGGATGAAGACTGTGGGGTTTTTTTTGTTTGTTTTGTTTTTGTGTTTTTTTTTTTTTTTTTAAGAGGGGAAGAAAAAAAGGTAAAAAATAGCAAGAAAAAGTGATCTATCAAGCTAATAAAGAATACGAGTGCTGCTGCCTTGGGCAGTTTTTTACAGCACTGGAGAAAAAGACTACTAGCAGCGTTGGGACGTGCTCTTTTGAAGCTGTTGAGTAGGCACAAACTTCTTGTTTCAGATCAAGCGTTGTGTCTTCAGTGTAAGTTTCCTCTTCTTTGGTCTTCTGTTGTTGTTATGATATGGTATGTTCCTTTCCTGATCTGAACTTGAAGTAGCAGTTTCAGGTGGTAAATTCTGTTTTGTTACACTTCATACTGGAAGGAGAAAAAGTACACAAAATATAACTTTAAAAGAAAGTTTATTATATTTCTACCACCAGATATACTGCCTCCACCTTAGCATTTTAATGAATTTTTATTTAATGCAAATCCTACCCCTCCTCTTCATACTCTCAACAACTTTACACATCTATCTCAATTTCATCAACAAGTACTTGAACCACTCAAACACTTTTGGGTTGCCCTCATCCAGTTTCTCACTTAGTTTTATTTGATTCTATGTAATAGTCTAAGAAGAAAAAGTATTGCAGTCCCAAGGTTGAGGGTGATCTTTTGGTTTTCGCTTTGGAGTTGCAACCTTTCAACCTTTTTCATACATTAACATACAGGTTTAACAACAGTACCCTTCCTTATTATCATGCTGTATATCAGTAAAACAAATCCATAATTGATGCTACAAATTAATAAATACATAATAAAGAAAATCCTAAAATAATTCCATAAAACTGGAAATTTTCATTGTGAAAATTCTGATCAAAGAGTTTTTCTTGTCAGAATCAAATTAGAAAAGTATTAAAGTTAACAGGCAAGTCCATTATATATCCATTTTACCCACAGCTGGCTTAACAATTACCAACCTATCAACTCAGCCTAATAAGCATTAAAAGGTTACAACATGTCCCAGAAACATAACGTGTGAGTTCAGCTTGTTTGGGAAAGGATGTTTGGGAAAGAAAGCAATCTCATATGAGATATTCCAAATAAGACTCAATTAGGGAGGAAAAAAAAAAGCTATCATAAAAATGTAACCACTACATTTTTCACATACCTTTCTACAGGAGGAGACAACCCTTACCAGAATCTTTTTTAGAACAGTTATCACATTTGGTACAGCATTTCATATCACAAATGAACTGTTCTCTCATGAAGTTCAAGACAAATGATGTAGCCACAAACTGTATCGCAGGAATGGCTCAGATTCATTGCGAATATTTTATTCAAATATTTGCCTCATCTCATTAGTCTAAGATGATTACTGCAACATACATAATGTTAAATACCTTATTTTGACAGCTATGGGACACGTTCCATTTTCAAAGACATAATCGAGGCATCTCTTCTGCCCAAAGACGCCTAAAGCTAATTTAATTGGGTAATGGAATGAAGCACAAGTTTTCTCCTTAAAAGCTGTATGATCTGCCAACATCATTAGTTTACTACTCTTGACATTTAAAAAAAAAGAAGTGTCAAGTAAACATAACTCAAGTAAAATCTGTGTAAGTCTGCCCAAAATTCCTTACTCAGTTACTATAAATATCCCTCCAAATGGTAAACAGCCGAAGCAGGTGCGCAGCCCCCAAGTCAGACTGGTCTCGCTGCATTTGTATATTTACAGCTCAAAGGATTAATCAAAAGACAGTGAGCAGAAAAAGCTAAAAGTCCTCTTCCTGAAGTCCTACAGGGCTGAATTTTATTAAGCAATGACAGGTTGTCATATAAGCATGCATTTGCTGCTTGAAACCATCTATATAGTAGTCTAACAAGTTTTCCCAATAGCCTGCAAGTTTTCTGTTTCTCCTTCTCTTCAAAAGAGTAGGTACACAATTGTGAGAATGCGTATTTTACATAACTAATACATGTGTTTCTAGAAGTAGTCATCTTCTACATGACTAAGATCAAGTTCTGCAAAGATCAAACGCTATTTTCAGCACAGGCACCATGCTGATGAGATGGTATCTAGAGGTTAACATACTCCACGTCTTTTCAGAGGAACCTCTTGAATATCAGAAAGAATGCCAAATCCTGGACACCCGATCAAAGCATGACAGCAGCAATGCCAGCTGTCAACATGCACTATATTGGGTAGTCACTTTTAGATTAAAAGACACAGCTAGAGAAAATGGTTAAGCTGCCACAGACACCTGCCTAGTGCATATATGGGTCTCTGGCCAGCAATGGATGTAGACATTGCAAAAAGCTGTGCGTTTTCCCCTGGAAGGTCGGCAGTGCCCAGGAGCCCAGCGCCCAACGTCAATCCAGGCGGCGGAGCAGCAGGCCCGGGCCGCGGCCAGCCCGAGGCAGCGCAGCGCAGCCAAGGAGGCCCTGCGCACTGCGCTGCCGCAAGATGGTGGCTGCGGCGCGGGCGGCGCCGAGGGGCGGCGCCACGACCCCAACCCGGCGCAGGCCGCGCGCCGCCCGCGCTGCGACAGCGGAAAAGGGCCGCGCCGAGCTCGGCGGCTTGCCGGACGCTGGAAAGGCGGGTGCCGCCGCGGGAGGCGCCGCCCCGCACACAAAGGGGGCGATGGCGGGCGCCTCGCGCACACAAAGGGGAAGGGGACCTCGTCCTGCACCGGGTGGGGCTTCGCGCGTGGCATGTCGGGAACCGAGGGCCGTCCAGCGCCCCTCCTCCCCCCAAATGAAGCTCCGCGAGCCCCCCAGCGTCCCAGCCTCACACGGCGCCTGCCGGGACCCGTAGTCTCCTCTGCAAGGCCGCCGGCAAGGCCGGCACCCTCCCCGCCTACAGGCCCCAGCAAGCCCCGCGGCCGAACGCGCTGCGCGGAACGCCGGGAAAGCGAGTCCCGGCGCCGCCCTGACCTGCCAGCGCTGACTGTCGGGACTGCAGCTCCCGGGAGCCCCTGCGGCAGGGCACCTGCCCGCAGCACTCCGGGAAACGTAGTCCGCACGCCGCGACGGCCGAGAAACCCACAGCCACCAATATTCCCTCCCCGGGAGCAGCGGCCTACCAGGCCGGCGCCCTATGGTGCCCGCCCGCCGCCCCCCGCGCGGCCGGGGGAGCACAGAGGCAGGTTACCCCACCAGGCCCGCGAGGACAACGGGCACAGGGACGAGCGCTCGGAGACGACCGCTCCCTCCGCCGAAGGATCCTCAGGACTCCCTGGGGCGCCTCAGCGCCATGTCCACAGCAGCGGGCGCGCTCTTCGCCTGCCGCCAGCTGTACTCACCCCAACAGCTCAGCGCCCCCGCTCCAGCGCCGCCATGAGCAGCACGGCACAGCACGTAGGAATAAATCCCGGCCTCTCGCGAGAGCCTCGGGGTGGAGCCGCGCGTGCGCCGAGGAGCTGCCGCGGGCTGCACAGCGCGCATGCGTGCCTGGCCGTTGGTCAATAGAGCGGCACGCGCGGCCTCCTCCCTGCTCCTCCCCGCCGCGCACCACGTGCCCAACGGCGGCATCGCGTCGCTCCCCCGCCCGCGAGGCGGCGCCGCAGCCGCAGCCCGGCCCCGCCCGCCCTTGAACGGCCCGGCCCGGCCGCATCCCCTGCCCGCTGCGCACGGGAGCTGTACAGGCACAGGCAGCAGTGCCTGCAGCAACGTGCTCGTCCTGCAGCCGGGGACAACAGCCTTGAAACCCCTCAAATCACAGCCTGACTCCTCGCTACTGAGGCAGATGAGCGGGGGCAGACGACCACGCTTAAGAGCAGCTCCCTCTCATTCATAGTCTGCCCTCACTTGCTCTGTAATAACCTAGTTCCCTGGTTCCCATTTTTAGGTTTGCACCGTGACCATTTCAGAGGAAACTGAGCCTGCACAGCCGCAGTACACGGGCACAGAGTGAGGGGCTGTTGTTAACTGAAGAGAAATGCAATGACTGAGAGGGTTGCACGGAACAGACAAGTTCAGGGACTATAGCAAAATACAGAGCAGGTTACAAGGCCTGAATTACCGCCAGGATTCATAAAACTGAACACACTTCAGAAAATACTACCGAACTTCTTTTTATTCCCTATAAAAAAAATTATAAGGACATTCCTGTACAGAAAATCCTCTTCTCTACCAGAGCATGTTTTGTATGCCATCTTCCAAATGACGGCAAAGAAATGCCACTTCATTTTCTTTGTGTCTTAGGCCTGAGACCTAAATCACCTTCTGCAATCAAAATCGTCACTTGGGAAATGAATGGCTTAACAGTTTAATGCTGGAAATGAGAGAATTCCTCTTTTTGAAAGATCATCTTTTGATCACCATTAAGAAAGGCAGCAACAAATATTTATATATGAAATACCACACTATCGACAAATTCTTAAAAATTGCAAGTCTAAAGCTAACTCAGTATGAGATTTTAAAATAACTATGTAACATCTGTCATTAGACTTACCTGTGATATAATATTAAAAAAATATTTATGTGGTTGGTTTCAGTTTAACAGTTTTGAGCTGGACCTCAGCTCAGGACCCTTCCTGAGGCCCAAAGTCTAGAGGGGTGCCAGATAGCAGAGAACACAACCCTCTAAGATCAGAGCCAGTCTTTATTGCCTTGACAGCCTCTGATCAGAGCTATTCGATATCCATACACCCCACAGCACAGGTAAGAGCCAGAATAGGTTTACTCACTTAAAAAACACAACACTGGGCAAATACACTACACTGACATGTGGGGGTGTCAGAAAGGGCTAATCATTCTGATTTTTCCCTGCTAAATTAAGGCAAAATATGTCCCTTGTACAAGTTACTAATTGAATAATTGAAATCCACTATTAATTATCTGCTACTCTCTTGATTTGCTTCCTATAAACTGTGTATTTCACAATAGCTATGTTAACCCAGCCACATTATGATCACGTTAGGCATTCAGAGGAAAGCAAGGTCTGTGTCTGCCATTTACAATATGATTTTCAAATAATCTCCTATGGCTTTTATCAACTGAAATAATTAAAATGTTGCCTGCATAGATGGAATTCTTAAAAGTTAATCCAAAACAACATTTATGAGACAAAATAAACTGTTGCAAAGATCATCGCAAACACTTCATTAAACATTTATATGCTGCACTTACTGACTAGCAACACAAACATTTGTCATCACAGCATATATTTTCAGAAAAAAAAGAGAGAATATAGGCCACACATCTTTAAAGATAAGACATACATACAAGGAAACACCTAAAAGAACAAAACACAAACCATCCTTCCTTAGATCAATTCCTGGTATTCTTGGAAACTGAATTATTTTGAAACCTGAGCATCATCATCAGGCAGATCTTCTTTCCCCACCTCAATAGACTCTTTGCTGATTGACAAAAGTTCACGGAGTTCTTTGTTTTCAAGCTGCAAAAATCAGTATTTTTGCTGAAACAAAAAAGATCTAATTCACACTTAAAAGGATATAATCTTTAATAGCCACACTCAGTGACAAATTAATAGAACACTGTTATTGTATAAAAATAATTCAGCACTAGCAAGAGGGGACATACATAGCACATCTTTCAGTTCTAGTTGCAAATAATAATAATAAAAAAATCAGCTACTTAAAAGATAACAATTTTCCTTATTCCTTATCCACTATATTTGAATGTTGAATATCCTTGGCATATATTAAACCATAACCCTCTCTATTTCTCTCTCTCTTCTACAATGGAAAACAAAAAAGCATTTAAGGGTAACTCTAGAAAATGCAAAATCCTGGATGTAACCTTAGCAATTATACCACTTCTTACCTCCAACTGAGCTAGTTTCTCTTGAACTTTAAAGAACTGATTATCATCAACTTGAACAGCTTTTCTCATCACTTCTCCCATCTCAAATATTCTATTTATTTGGCTTTCCATTTTCTGAAAGACATGAAAAACAATATATTAAATATGTTTGCGCAAAAGCAATAGTACACACCCTACTTATCTTAAAAAAGACAGACAAAAAAATCACCCTTTCTTGACTTTCTTGACTTTAGACTAGTTTCCTATCTTGAATGGTAATCCTCTCATTCAAAACACTTTTCAATCCTTTCCAAATTATTTAAAGATGATAATATGCACTTGTACTTCAGCTATCATGAAACATCACTGAAAAGTATAACAGAATTGCACCAGTCAGCAAGATATAAGGCAATATTACATACTAAGAAGGAAACTGTTTCCACTCCAACAAGGACTAAACCAACAGATTCAAGTTCAGATGACACAGTCATCATGCAGATGGCATTCTAAGGCACAAGAAGTAAGACACTTATGCAGTACTAGGAAAAAAAAGTAACTTCTGAAGAACAAAGCAACCCACAGATGCAACGAGTTGTCACATTATCAGCATAAAGATTTAGGATGGTTGAAGATCCAACTGAAAAACAACAAACAGAATAAAAGATCTGATCACATCACACAAACTTGCTCTTCTTTAATTGCATATGAACATGTATTTCAGCAAAGTCCTAACTTTTACTGTAATACTAGAAATATGATTATCTTTTATTTTAGACTCTGAAATGTAAAACAGGCAGGGGTTATCTCAATGCACATCTCATAGAGAGCTGGTCACTGCACTTGACAAGGACAAAGGCAGGCTTTTGGGCACACTTTTATACTGATTGATTACTTTGAAGTGATGATTTCTTAAGAACTCAACACACTGCAGCTTAGAGATATTTAGGAGATTCTTCTCCCTTTGCTATAAATGATTACTGAATGGTAACAATAAGACCACTGATGCACATATCCTGTAAAGTGAGAATAAAGACATTAAGCTCTTCACAAAGAATTTAAGACCCAAGACACATACAGCAAACTATCACTTGGCCCTTGTAAGGTTTACGCTCTTCAGCACCCTTGTGATAATTGTCACAGCCCATATGTTGTCATAGGAATGAAAAGAAACAAAGAAACAAACAAAAAGCCCCTTCTGGCATCACCCACCCTGTGCATCCTTACCACACAGTTCTCCCGATGAACTTCCAAGACCGGCTCTGTCTCTTCGCCCTTCCTCCCCTGCAGCAGCTGCAGCATCTGCTTTCTGTACTTGCTCATGATGAGCTCCAGGGCGTCCTGGTGCTCCTCCAGGGAGATCCACAGCTCTGCGGGACGCAAAGCGGCTGTCACGAGGGGCGCCTGGCGCCGCGCTGCCCCTCAGGGCCGGCCGGCCGCGCTCACCGCTCACTCACCCCTGTTCTCCCGCCGCAGGTCGCGGATCTGCGTGTTCTCCTGCGGCAGCAGCACGTGTGGCCGCAGACGGGGCGCGCCGGCCCGCTCCGCCGCGCTGCTCGGGGCCTGCGAGACGGCGCTGTCAGGCCCGCTCCGGCCCGCTCCGGTCCCGCCCGGCCCGACCGCGCCGCGCTCACCTTCTCGGCCGGCACCGCGCCTGCCTCCCTCATGGCGGCCACGCGGCGCTGCAGCACGGCGGACTGGTCGATGAGCGACTCGGCCGCGGTGTCGTGCTCCTTCAGCCGCTCCAGCAACGTCCTGGCGTCCGCCAGCACCTTCTCGATGGTGCAGGCCATGGCGGGAACCGCGCCCTCACTCCCACCGTTCCCCCATGCCCGGCTGGCCACGGGCACGGCCACGCACGGCTCACCCCACACCCCGGCGGCTCGCGCAGCGCTCCCCACGCGCATGCGCAGGCAGCGGCGAAAGCCGGCGCGCTCCGTCTCCCTGCGCCTGCGTGCCGCTGCACGGGCGGAGCGGGGCTTGTCCGGCCATGGCGGCTTCGCCGCGGGCGGGAAGTCGCCACTGCAGCTCCTTTTTCGGCGAGGCCGAGCCCCCTGCGGAAATAACATTAAAAAGCGAATCTAAATCACACGAGAGTTTTGATCTCTCTTTTGTGTGTTTGTTTACAGAAGGCTAACGCCGGATGTTCCCCCTCCCCAGATCTTCAACACACCTGTGCATCCTGGGTGCGCCTTTCCAAACACAACAAGCCAGCGTGTTCCAGAAACCAGAGAATCCAGATGAAGAGGTCCCAGCTGCGGTCCTGTGCAAATGGGGTGTTGTTCTGTGCACAGGAGGGCGCATGTCCTTGACCCCAGGGAGTCCTGCTTATCTATTTAAATACTCCATTAAACAGTCTGTGATAAATTCCGGGCTGAGATCTGTGGAGCTGTCATCTTATCTAATATTCTTGTTTGTCTCTTTTAACAGTAAACATCCTCTACTCAAGTTAAAATAACAGAAGCTCTGTAATGCTGACTTGGTTCTTTGTTATTTATTTGCTAACTAGAACTACTGTTGGTGATCTGTGATGTCCTTGATGCTCAGCTCAACTTTGTGTCACAGTGCTTTCTTTTTATTACCAAATTTATTATTTTCAAAAATAGTGTTTTAACAGTAGGATGCATTCGACTTGAGTCACCACCAGTGCAGCACCTGCAATTTCATTTTACATGCCCTAGGAAACCAACTACAGGAACGTGTCTTCTTCAGTATGAAGGATCATTACACCTCAGTGACTTGAGAGCATGTGTGAATTTCTGGTTTTGGCCCATTCCGTTCCTTGCATTTATACTTCCCTTTGGGCAGTGTTTTTGTTTGTTTTGTTTTCTCTTCCTTGAGCAATGTGATGATACCCAAAGCTTTCATGCCAAGAGGGCACAAGCAAAGAGGGAGAATGAGAAGACAACAAAGTTTACTAAATCCACATAGCAGTCAGTATGCGTTGTCACTCAGGAACTGGGCTGATTCCCTCTCCAGCAGATCTTTTGACATAAAATCATTTGTTCAACTTTGAAAGGGCAGTAGAATGAGCTAGAGAGGCACCAGGGCCACAGATCAGATCCCAGGAGGACAAAGCTCCTTGGTTTAAATGCTGGGAATGCTTTTCACCAAACTTCTAGTATGTAGCAACAGAGCTTAAACAAATCAACAAATGCATTTTCTGTATATTGGTGTCTTTTAATTCCTTGCTTCTTATCATATCAGCTCTGTATAAACTGAATAGAATGTATAAATTTGGCCTCTTAAACTTCTTAGTGTTTAACTTCAATTCGATTAAACACTTATGTATGTGTACAAAGTAAAAAATGAGGTTACAAGAGGTTAATGCTTTAATGCTTTTAATAACTCTTAACCACATGGCTGTATTTTGTCAGACAGAGCACCAATTTGTTCTAGCAGGAAATGCTCATGATGGAGTATATTGGTGCTCTCTAAAACAGTAAAGCTGCTGCAGAACAAAAAACCTTCTGAGGCCACCTTGGAAAATTCATAAGCAGTATTTCTCTTACAGGTTTTCTGAGCAGGATTTCCTGAGTATAAGCTCACTACATGAATCTAGCACAGAGGAGGAAAATCTAAGAGGGAAGGATTCTTGAAAAAAACAGAAGTATAGGAGGAGTGTTAAAAAGGACTGGTAATAGTTTCTCAGTGTGGGTCAAAAAGGACAGGATAGCAGTTACGCAAAATGCTAGGTACAAGGTATTATATGTAGATTTGAGAAGAGTTCAGGGACTGCTGCTGTGGGTGTTGAGACTGTGTGCACCATGTAATGCTCTACATTTAAACAAAAACTGACAGTGGAGTAAATAGTGGTTAAAAATGTATGGAGAAAGTGACCATTAGAAATATCTGTGACAGAGACTGAAGGGCATGTATCTCTCTCTCTCTTCCTCCTCCTCTCACAAAACTGATTGTTTGCTTTTACAGTTAAGCGATGGGTTTAAGGTAATTATCAGTTTCTGTCACAATTTCACAGCTTTTACCTTTTACAAAATCTGGCCACCAAACCAGATTTTGCACACCAGAAGGTCACAGGAATCAACTTGTACTTCCAACTCGATGCTTCAAGGTAAAAAACTACTGCATAAAAGAGAGGGTCTGTGACAAACATTTTTATCAAGAAATTCAGTTTCATTATTCATCTTAACTATCCCGCTTTCACAAATCTGGAAGAGTCATCCATTGCAGCATGGCATTTACATTAATGAGCCTAATATTCTTTTTAATATCAAAACAAATGTCCGTAAGATGGAATCCAGGATGGAAGAAAAACATTATCATTGATAAAGCAATATATCCAGTTATTTTAGTCTCTCAGCAGCAACACCCAACTGCTGACAAAATGCTGAGAGATTCCACAATAATCATTTTATAATTCTTAATACAGAATGTCAAGACATTTTGTTTTATGAAAATTAGATCCACAACTTGTTTTTTCTTCTTACAGAATAGTAAGATTTAGGAATTTCAGTGCTTGAAGGTACATTACAAGTGTTTCTTATTAACTACCAATTTCAATACCATTGAAGCAAGGCGCAATAAAGCTTTGGTTACACCTTCATTTAATCCACATTGTGTCTTGCTGAATACTGATGCACTGGAGCATGTTATTGACAAATTTTGTTCTCCCTGGCAAGAGGAAACACATGAATTTGGCATAGGTGTTGATAGAGTACATGCTTAAAATCTATATAAGCAGCAAAGTACAGGGTTAATTACAAATAAAATCTCATTTTTTATGCTTTGTTTTATCATTGTATCATGTTGTATCTAAAGCAATCCAGTCAGGCTGAGGCTGACCTGCTACACTGATACTCTTAAGTCACAAGTGAAACCAGCAAACATGATCACTGTGTTGCAGGAGGAGGCAAATATTGACAATAAAACAAGCATATGTTTATCAAACATCTAGATTAATTACCTTTTAGATTCATCATAACATTAAACAAATCACCTTTGACAGACAGTCCTGCACTTCTTCCTTTTCTTGCAATCCTCTTCAGAGCTGATGCCTGTATAGAGCATAATGCTATTCCAGAAAAAGCTTTGACTGTCTTAAAAGTTTTGCATGCACAATGCCCAGAAAGTAACAAAAGACAATTTCCTACTACAGTAGCTCCTAGCCCTGAGACTACCTTTCAACACATGCTCCAACAGCTAAAACTACTACACACACAACAAATAAACATCCTATTCAAATTCAATCTTTCTCTCTGCTGAAAGTCAGAATTACAAGATAACATCAACATCCAAAAAATGTCAGTCATGAGGTTTTGTGCTGATTGAGCAAAATATCCTAACAGCGCCAGAACCACTGCACCATTTAAGATTAGTAAATAAACCAGGAGAAAGGGTGAAGAGAAAGCTTGCATGTTTTTCATGGGTTTCTCAATAAACTGTCAACTTAAGTAGTTTTCAGAACACATATTTGCTATGAATTAGTCCTTAGCTATACTTCTATGTCTATTTCTCTAAAACAAAAAATAGGTAAAGATATAGCTTAAACATTTATATAAGCTTTACTGTTAGTACTCAACCTTCTTTAATGTCGTTCAGAACAGTTTACTAACAAGAGAGCTGTAATCCTTTATTGAAGTAATCTATATTTGAATATAATCTTAAACTCACATATAACAATTACCATAATTAGCAATTGTTTTCCAAGGTTTCCCAACTGCTTAGTATTTGACTCTTGCTTTAATCATTTAATGATTTACAGTAATGAGCATGAACATGAGTATTTTGCACTAAAATGGCCAAAATACTTGGTCAGGAACCATTGCCCTTATGTGACAGATCTCAGATGCTTTTGCAGAGAGTTAGCCAAAAGCAATAGACAATGTCATCAGATGTCTTTTATTTTTACTGAAAAAAAACCAATGAAGTGACCAAAGTGACCAAGTGACCGTAATGACTTGTAGTTAGAGTCCCAGTAGCTTTTGAAGGACTGTTACTTTGCTGAGATTCTGCCCTTTGTTTAGTTTCTGTTTGACAAGTGCTTTATAAATGACCAGAAGAGGTGGTTTATGTTTCATTAATGAGGCTGATAGTGGTTAATTACTAAAGTTGCATAAACAATCCAATACCAGATCAAGCCGAATGGGTCAGTTATGTAGAAAAGACCCAGCTGGAGAAGATAGCATTTCCTTTAACTATTCAAATACCAAACAAGTTAGAGAGATCTTGAAACTATAGCTCAGATGAACAGAGAATTCTGCTGAGCTTGAAAATAATTTCTCTTGACATGCGTTGATCTATGGAAACTCTCTTTTGATCTGCAATTTTTAACTCTCTAGACAAATGCATGAAGGAAGCCATACTATGTAGCTGAGACTAGAGATGCCACAGTTTAATGGAAATGGCATTAGGCTTTTCCATTACATTATCCAGCCAATTTGAGGCTGCTAAAGTAGTATGACATAAAGTGTTCAGGCAATACTCATGCCATCATCAGAAGTGATTATTCTCTAGGAAGAACACGCATCCTTTATTTTGTACCTTAGTGACACTTCAAGATTCAGGCTCTTGACATACACATACCTGCTCTTATTTCTCTCATTTTCAGCCCATGATAGAGTCATAGTCACCTCTAGCAAAGCATGCTTGAAGCATGCAGTGATTTACTTTTCACATTAAAATGAAATTAGACATGTTGCTGATCAGACAGTTTATTAGCATTTTACAAGAATAACATATGCAAGAAAAAGTACAGAAAATAGAGCTAGAAGCTACCTCAGAAATCCCTTCTTCTTTCACATTAACTTTGAAAGAACAATTCATAAATTCTCTAAATTGGCCCAATCTAATCTACAAAAGCTCCAGTGACGAAGAATACAGTCAAATTATTATTGTTTATGAATATTTTGTAAAAATAACTGTTACTTTTACCATTATAGATGTTCTCTATTACCTAATTTAAATCCTCTTTGCTCCCAAATAAAATTTTTATTGTTTGCATTCTTTTCAAGTATGAAATACCTTTTTTTCCTCCTCTTTTCAGCAGTTCTTTATGTGTTTGAAGAAGACTCTGAGGTCTCCCATTTTTATTGTCAATCTAAGCTTTGAGAAGGGAACCAATCTGTAAAAATAGTGTTAATATATATATTTAACATGGACCAATACTCTGGTCTGAATTACCTAATGACTGTGCAAACACCACCGCATGTGAGTGGGAGTAACTGGCCATGGGCTACTTAAAGTAGCACTGCATCCATTCTCCTGGAACTAAGATTGAGTCTCTTACATACTTAAGTAGTTTTAGAAATTCAAATCACTAAATCCACTAGCCTTTTTGACACTGAACAGAATTAGGATTAGATACCTCCTAAAAACCTGGGCTTCAAGCTTAAGTCTCCCGAAGTCAATAAGCTTTAAATATCTAAGTCCTGTAAGTACATTTGAATAGTTTAGCAGCAATCTATTTTTTATCAAAAAAAAGCCTAAAAAAGAATCAACAATTTCACTTCCAAAGGCTCACTCAGATTCCCAAATGATATCAAACTTTACGGAAATAAGTAACATGCTCTTCTCTGAATCCTATGAAATATAGGTACAGCTGTCCTTTCAAGGGTAATGTCAGCTTGTTGAGTGTTGTGTGACAGATCTGTGAAAACCCATTGTCCTCAAAAGTCTATTTAAGTGATATTGCAGTAAGGTAACCAACAAGAATGGAGTTTTTCCCTTTGCTGTGTAATCCTGCTGCGTCTACAACTGAACAGTTTTCACGAGGTAATATCAAAAATTGCTCTCACACAGAAGAAAGATGATCCTTATTCTGGGATTAAGATATCTGCTGTCTTCTATGTAACATGTTAGACAGCAATTGTAATGACATGATGCTTAACTAGAAAATGCCTTTCTCCAAAAGATCCATCAAATCTCATATCTAGGAAGCAATAAAAGACGCAAGTTGCACTGATTGATTTGTAAGAAAACGTCCACAAAGAACAAACTTTTTAGTTTTTGTAAGAAGGAAATTTTACAAAATTAATAGCAACAAAAGTTACTAAAGAAGTTACTGTCTTTTCTGGAGGTACAGATTAATCCAACGTATGTCGTGCAGGTATTTGCAACTACCTGGGGGTAGTTTGGAGGCAGTATCTCCTTATTGGAGATACTGCCATAACCAAATGTTCCCACATTCAATTATCAGGTATTGTAGCTATATCAAAGTAATACTACTGTGTGATTTTCTCTGACCAAGCAATGAGCATTATCTGTTAACACTCAAATATGTTGATGTTAAGCAATCTAAATGGGAGTTTCAGATTCTACCAAGAAAGCAAAATATTTAGTAATCAAACTGGGAGAACTCTGGGAAACAGTGACGTGAGGGTCCTCATGGCCTCTGTCCCTGATGACCCAGTTATTATTTGATTTATGTGGACTTGCAGCTGCCCTTGCTTTGACCCCAGGAAAGGCTGTGTGGGAAGTTCGTGTCTCAGAGCCTGTAGCATTGCTCTGCAGAGTGTCTGCAGCCTAGTGTATGCAAAGAAACTGATAAATAGGGAAAAGGCCTGGCTTGCTACAGCTGGAATCGGAGCTGGAATCACTGCTGCATCCCAACAGATTTGCTGTGGAAAGAAGAGACTCTCTCTGGAGCTAGCGTAAGTGTTTCATTCATGGCTCTGAATGCTTTGGAATTGCAAAGTATTTTTCTAGCCATAAACTAATTTGTCATGTGAAAATATCTGAGGCTTTTGTTCATTTGTTTGCTTTTAAAATTTCTGCTTAAATTAGAATAGAAAACATACACTTTAAAACTAGGTTTCCAGCCGCCAAGAATTTTTTACAACAGTTCTGTAATTACATATGCTGCTCTGAAGTGCAAAATTATTTTGGAGGACGAAGGGATGTAATTTTCTTTACAGAACATAAGGTGAGACATCAAATCCCAACACCAAATAATACAATTTTGTTTTTTTTTGTGAAAGACTGTAAGACTGAACAGCTCTCATCACAATCAGAATGAGATTTATTACTAAGAATTACTCGAGTACTAAGAATTATTTTACAGAGTAAAATAATTTATCTGCCTTCTTCCCCAAGGTAATACAAAAACCGTAAGTTACAAAGAATCTCTAACCTCTGATTTTACTCTATATATTATATATATATGTATATATAAATTATACCTTTGAAAAAGGTATGAAAAATGCTTCCCAGAAAAAAAAGCACACGTTTAACACTGCCATAAAAATGTACTGCCTAGTGTCACTGTTTGTTCATTATGCTTCATGTAAGGTATGTTAAATCCATGCTGAAAACCTCCAGCTTGAGTTACTAACATTCTCTTTAAACAAACAAAAAAATCCCTGTGACACAACTGTCAAAGTATTTATGATAATCGTTGAAGTACTGTCAATACAGACATCTTAAAGAGCTGCTTGGAGAATCTTCTGTAAGAAATATACTTTGCATCATAATAAATTTGATGATAACACAAGTTGATGATATTTTACTTTCTGATACAATATTTTATAGCAATAAAAATTATAAAAACAGCTTATGCCATAAATAACAACAAACAGATTTACTATATGTATTATAGTCCAGACATGTATGTTCTGTTAAATTACTAACTGTTCTGTGGTCACATCTTATTTTCATTAACTGCTTTTGGGAAAAAAAGAAAGTGCTCTTTTTGATGAATTTAATAGTCTTTCCATTAGAATCAATAACTGAATGCTGCTGAATTTCTGTATTAGATGGATAACCAAATTCCTGAGTCAACACATATTCACTATAAATTGAATGTTATTTGTTGAGAAGACTGATCATTGACAAAAATAAACCTGTAAAAGAACAACTTTGTCAAAACTACTTAAGCAGCTCAGACCCTAAGTCATATCTTTCTCTGGGCAAAAATAAAGTCCCATGTCAGTTTGCTTTACAAAGGACTAAGAATTTCATCCTAACTGCATTAATGATTGTGATTCTACAAACAGGTTGCTGAAGATTTCTTATTTAGTTTTCAATTATTACAACTTTTTACAATTTAATTATTACAACTTTTTATCATCATAAAAAATTTTATCATCTCTGGGAAGAGATTGCTTTTTTATTTCTAAGGCACAGACAGACACACAAGTAAAACTGCATTACGAGTATTCAGAAAGGAGAAAAATGGATATAAAATATTATGTTTTGGGAATGGCATAACTATCACCAACAAAAACACCCAAAGCTCTTCCCCCAGTCTAATTTCAAATTTGTCCAAGTTATTGTTTTGAAAAATTAAATATTGGACATATATGCTACATTCTGTTAAGGTCTCCACCAAGTTCAGAGTCTGTAGCTAAGCTTTGTGCACATGCAAAATTTACTGTGTTGTGTGGCAAAAAGTTAATGAATATATGCGTGGACAGAAGAACTCCTTGAAGTCATCGTTCACTTCTAGTGAAGTGTGAGAGATGAGGCATGGTTGCTAATCTCTCAAGAGATCCCAAGAGATATGGCTGATCTCCCAACAGCCGTATGTGGATGATGTGACTCCTAAAATTTGTAGGAGGCTTCTGTCCTACTGTCTGATTCAGATAAAAAGAACAGAATATTTCAAAGGGGCAGATGTTGTAAGGCAGGATTACTGAGGTCAATCTTACATATCACAAAACTTTTCTTGGAGAATTGTGTTCCATTTCCCATAGTTTTGTTTTAAAGAAAGACCAATGCAATTTTATTTCAGAACAGTTCTCAAATGTTAGGAAACACGGCTATTAGAATTTTATGCATATATTTTGATCATTAAGTTTCATTTCAAGATGGTATAACATTCCTCAAATAAACATGGCTTTTAATGCTCTAATAATTTTCTAGTATTATTACTATTTAAAGAAACTACTGGAATCCAGAAATGTATTTCTTTAGCAAATACACACCTTCTTGATGGAAAAAAAATGTAGACTTTGCCCAGGCCAAATTGATTTTGCTGATAAGGCCATCATGATCCAATCAGTCATTTCTGTTTCAACCAAATATTTACTAGTAGAGATAATATAAAAGCAGCATTCCAGTCTTACTGTATCTTTTCAGCTTCTGCTGGCAACACGAAGGGAAAGTGTTCAGTTCCAAAGATATATCAATCTGGTGGGAAGAATATCTACATTTCAAGATATGACTTCAGATATGACTATATCATAGTGTCATAGATATGACTATATATCATAGTCATAGATATGACTATAGACAGTCAAAGCATCCAAATAGGAAATCCAGATTCCTTCAATAATAAAGGAACAGAGAAAGACAACTCGAGGCGGCAATACATCATACGCAGATCCTTTGATTTTTGACCCTTCAGACGAGACTGTCAGCTCTTGAAGGAAGATTAATTTTTAAACATGTAACCTAATCACCTAATCTAAATCAGATACTTGTTAAGCGAGGCAAAGGGGAAAAAAAATTAAGGGCACGAAGCAAAGTTATTACAAGCCAATCTTTGTGAAGAATCAGGAAGTTCACAAATTCCACACTTCTGCTAATGTCCTAACTCATTTTTCACCCCGCTTTTTTTTTTTTTTTTTCTCTCTATCCAGGGAATCTTTTTTTAACTTCTTCCCGGTGAAGATTCACCAAAGGTTAGGCTGATTTCCCAAAACTGTTCTGTGCAAAATCAATACCTGCAGAGTTCTAAACATAGTGCTAAATTCCGTCTAAATTCCATTCTAAATGCACTTTGAAGATGTATAAATGGACTCTATATCCAATCCTTATTAGTGAAATCCCTATTAGTAAAAGCCAACATTTTACAATGCTTGCAACACTGCAAGTATTGTGTGACTATCCACCTCCCTCTGATTTTCTTATGATATGCAAATAGTTCCATACACTGAAATTTCCTGTTTTCAGCTCCTTAGCTAATCCTATCCGTTCATTTTCCCCCCAAGTGATGTTCCTCTTACATTCCCATTTTTCTAGGTTTCCTTCTCAAAAGTCTATTGTACACCAAAGTGGATGAAACAGTGCAATTTGGAGCAGAACATGGCAAATACATTTGTCACAGTACCTGATGGGTACTGTCTTGCTGAGCCCATACAGTATTATGGTGAGTAAAGCAGAATTTTAGTACTAAGAAAAATCAGTATAGTAAAATGAAGGTCTGTGGAAATTATCACTCCCTTCCTCTTTTTAATTTATCTTTACAAAGCTTTTAGAAAGCCACACATTTGACGACCAAGCCCATATTGTTATGTTCAAATATATTAGAGTGTGCTTATACTGATTTTTGTACACAACTTAAATAGCTGACAGATGAATTCATATAAAGATTACAGTACCCTCTTTTGACTTGCACAAAGCTGCTATAGCTTTTATTACTATTTATGATTAATGTTCCATATGCATCACAAAGAGAAAACAGTTATTATTCTATAGCTTATATGAATATAATTGCAATCAGTAATTTGGATGAGTGAAAGCAAGACCTAATGTTTATTAAAAACAGAAAGACCTTCAATATGCTTAAAAAAAAAAACTCGCCAATTTATTTTTACAGAGATTCAAAGATTTGAACAAGCACAAAATTGAACATGATACATATGCTGCATGAACTTAGCAAACCTTTCACTATCACATTGAATTATTTACAGGAAAAATATTATTCTGTAGTGAGGAAAACAAAATAAATACAATATGAAAATATAAATCTGAGTGCAGGTACATACTTAATTGACATATGCTATTCAATCAGTTACTAACAGGAATTGAGTGGCATCCATAATTCCCAAACTGTTACCAAGCCACTATTACTACCGCTGAGATTTTACTTGAGAACATTATAGCCAACACATTTAAAAAGAATGACTCATTGAAAATGTATACTTCTAATACTTATCCTTAAATATTTAATTTATAAAACATTTTTAAAAGTCCATGAAGTAACTAACATCAAGATATTCTCCTTTATTTTTTATTTAATCTCATATTCTTTATCTAGATGTTTTACCAGAGCACATCAATTATCAGCTGCAAGACACAGATTTTCAGAGTGCTCCTTACTGCCAATATTCCACAGTTCAATATCCTCCTCAAGTACTACAGTCACAACCTTCACAATCTCAATACAGTACATATAGCCTGGACTCTCAATACAGTGATGGGCAGTATATAATCAGCAACTGTGAATTTAACAAGCCCCATTTCATGGCTTCCCGCATTGATGACAGTGGATATCAAGGACTAAAAAGGCCAAGATTAAATCATTCCTCCTTGCGAATGAAGGGACAGGAAGAACTCTGTGTGGTGTGTGGTGACAAGGCCTCAGGCTATCATTACAATGCACTTACCTGTGAAGGTTGTAAAGGTAAGAAGTAAATACGTTTATCTGTATCTTAACCAGGAATGTTGCCCCACAGTGCTCAACATAATATGGTAAGATTTCACACGTAAGATTTTAAGAAACAGATTTAATTAATTTTAAGTTGTCATTTCTGCAGAGGTTTGTAATATATCTTAGAAACCCTTTCTCTAAGAATCTGACTCCTAATTCACTTCATAATATCTTTTAAAATATTTTTAATATGAAGTATTTCATTTAAGAAGGATTTTCACAGTATATATTTAACACAATAATTTTCACAGTATATATTTAACACAATAATTTCATGCAACTGATTTTGATATCAGTTACTCTCTAGAATTGTATCTATTTAATTTGGTTTTGATATTCTCATAATGGTTTTAGAGTTATCTCAATATTATTAATTATACTTGCCATAAAATTTAAATAAAATACTGCATTATTTATTACCAATACTCTTTGCTTACTATATTGGAGTTTTCTTGACCAGGTAAGAAAAACAGCAATTAGTATTACTTAGAAAATACCAACAAGTCATTATTATTGTGCTGTTAAAGCCTAAATTAAAAATCAAGGTGATGCTTTAATTCTCAAAACAAAACAAACAAAAAGCTAGTAAACTTTAGTTCTTTAGATCTTTATGAGATAAGAGTCTTTGCATTTTTTTCAGTCATAAGCTGATTCTTGTCCGTAGGCTTCTTTCGACGTAGCATCACTAAAAATGCAGTGTATCGATGCAAGAATGGTGGTCACTGTGAAATGGACATGTACATGCGAAGAAAGTGTCAGGAATGTCGCTTGAAGAAGTGTAAGGCTGTGGGAATGCTAGCAGAATGTAAGTACTCTTCAACAGAGAGTAGCCAACTCTCTGTTGGATACTTTTAGAAACTGTGAGAGTTGATTATTTCTCAAAACCCCTTCTCCTCATTAGAACCAAAAGGCATGGATCTAAATTTAATTTTGTCGTGGGAAAAATTAACTATGGAGTCTACAGGATCTGCAACATTGACATCCATAAAAACCATCAGTATTTGGAAAGTATCTCCTGAAGAACGATGTTAAAGAATTCGCACACACAAACACACACACAAAAAATACTACCAAAAGGCAAATATCCCGAACCTTGACAAGACAGCCGTAAGTCTAACAACTGCAATTTCATGTTTGGAAGAAAAAAAAATTTTTTTTTCCCCATGATCATGCTTACATGCAACAAAGCCCCAACTAAAGTAACATGAAAAGGCTGCAAACACTCAGGCCTTTGATGGATAATGAACACAAATTCACCTAGTGAATAGCGTTTTGCCATATTCCCTAGAAAACAGTGTTCCTTAAAGGTGCATTGATACACACTTCTATGTCTCACAGGTTTGCTGACTGAAGTACAGTGCAAGTCAAAGCGACTCAGGAAAAATTTCAAACAGAAGAGCAGTTTTCATTGCAACATAAAACTAGAAGATGAGGGACTGAATAGTAAGCATGTATCATCTACAACAAGAGCTGGAAAAGTAAGATATTTCTCTATTTGAAATATCCATCATTTATTTTTGCCTTAACACATTGTCATTTGATTTTTTTTTTTTAAACAGATCACAGAGAGGATGGAACTCACGCCAGGGGAACATCAACTTCTTGACCACATTGTAGCAGCACATCAAAAATACACAATTCCCCTTGAGGAAACAAAGAAGTTTGTATGTATACAGAACAATCAGCCAACCTTACTGGGTTATTATTATTATCCTAAACACTGTATTTGCTTATATCAAAAGTCTAAACACTCTTTCATGCAGCTACAAGAAACTGCAAGTCCAGAGGAAAGTTTTCTGCGTCTCTCCGAGACAGCAGTTGTTCACGTACAAGTGTTAGTTGATTTCACAAAAAGACTCCCAGGTAAGTTCCTTCTTTTCAAAAATGGTACATTGCAAGTCTAAAACATTATTTTAAGGGGAAGATCTGAGGTGGTGGCATGCATCTGAAAAATACACCAATGATCAGGATAACCATTTGCCAGTGCTTGCTAGTAGTTTCCTACATTTTCTTTCATAAGGACATATCTGGACTCTCTCCAAACTTTTACTGTAATTACATTTCTTTTCAATGTGTGACATGGAAAAAAAATAAACATTTTCTGAAAAGTATACCTACTTCAAAACACTATCTTGGGCAAGTTGTTATTTTAACACATACTCTGAAATGCGATTAACATTGCAATTCATTATAGTCATCAAGGATAAGAAACATACCTTCAAAGAAAAGGCAGCCCAGGAGGGATGCGCTGGGTAATCCTACTCGTACTTACCTGTAATACAAGAACAAGGGAGCATGTGATTACATCCACTGCAATTCAGTTTAATATTGAGAAAATAACATTTGATGGAAATAATTGATAATTTATTACTCTAAATTGTAAAACTCTGACAAAAGTCAGACACGTCTAAAGGAGGCATTTGATGTAATTTATGTGTTTTTTTTTTTCCTGAAAGTTGTTTTATGCTTTGATCAGTATTAACAACATGATTTATTCCTGAATTATAAATATAGATGATGAATTAGTGAAAAGATTTATACAATTTAAAAGGATATCAGATTTCAATGGATAAGGAGAATATCCATATTCACTTAGCAATATAACAAATTTCCAAGTCATTAGGTCTGTGACGTATTAGGTAACAATGGCATGGTATGAAGAATTTTTTTTTATAAAGTCTTGCTTATTCCTATTTTGCCTTTTTTAATCATTTTCTGATTTTCCAACCCTGGACTCTGCCAAAAGTACAAAACCTTTTTGTCTGGTCTGCAAAGTAGCAAGAAAGAAAAATCAAGAGTTTGACCTTTGCTACATAGGTCTTTTAAATAGGGCTCCTGCTTTCCATTAGAGATATTCATTAAAATATTATTTTATTAACATGTATTAGGAGTTTAGAAGCAGCCACAATTTCAAGTCTTAATTATATGTTTCTCTGCAGGATTTACAAGTTTAGCTAGCGAAGATCAAGTTGCACTATTAAAGGGGTCAACAGTTGAAGCAATGTTTTTGTGTTCAGCCCAGATATACAACCAAAAAAACAGTGAATGCCCATCAACAAGTGACAGTAAGTTTAACTAATAAGCTTTCTGTAATTCAGCCATTTTGAAAGAACTTCTATTCATTTTTGTTTATTAAATCTCAATAATTGTACACTCAAACATAGCACAATTTATTTTGCAAACAAGGGCAACATTTGCAAGAATCTGCAGAACAAATCATGAGGTAAATAACATTAACTATCGTAATGACATAAACATGACACAAGAGATCATCTTTACTAGCAATAGTGCAACAAATAAACCTGTTGATATATGCCAGAAAGAACTCTTTCCAATTTATGTGCTCCCTCTGCATGGGATTCAGAACAATATATACAATTTCAGGCACATACCTGCAAAGCAGATACAGCCAAATGTATGAAGTAGCATTATGTTTAGCTATGAACTGTCACAGTTGCTGCAGGTCACAGAAGATTTGCTGATCATGTGACATGTTGCCACGCTCAAAACCTTGATAAGAACACCATTTATTCCATGGAAATGTCTCACAGCGAAGACAGCCCAACTTCCACGACGACCACAGGTAATGGTGACCTCTGAAAGGACATTTGGAAATGTGCAATTTGCTGAGCATGCTGCTCGCCACCCTGAGTGGTGCTGGCACTGTGGCGCGTACCCCGCTCCTCCGCTCCACTCCAAGCTGGTCTGGCACCATCCTGGCACTATTTCGTTATGGGAGGAGGAGGAGGTGGCTTTTGCCTTTCCTCATGTCCAAGGATAAAGAAGCCTTGAGTGATACTAAGCTTATTAACATTTTCATGAGATGAACAGCCTGAAACTTTGAAAGAATTGGCAGGGATGACTCAAAATGACTATTTCTGTATTAATATTCTGATTTTATTTCATTCCCAAGGTATAACTGAGGAGTTTATTACTGCGCTGTTTTACTTCTACAGAAGCATGGGAGAACTTAAAGTGACAGAGACAGAATATGCCCTACTCCTTGCAACGACCATCTTTTTTTCAGGTAAAGCCAGGAAATGAGCCACTTTTAACTCACTAGCGTGCTTTTAACCCATTTTAACCACCCGGTAACGCCACCTCTCGCAGACCGCCCGCTCCTGAGGGACAAGCGGCACGTGGAGGAGCTGCAGGAGCCGCTCCTGGACATCCTCTACAAGTACTCCAAAATCCACCACCCCGAAGACCCTCACCACTTCGCCCGCCTCATCGGACGCCTCACGGAACTACGCACGCTCAACCACAGCCACGCGGAGGTGCTGGTGACGTGGCGGATTAAGGACCCGCGCCTGACTTCCCTGCTCTGCGAGATCTGGGACCTGCACTAGGTGGCGCCGAGCCCTGCGGCTTCTCGCCAGCCGTTGCGGCCGCGCCCGGCCCGCCTTGCGCTGCGGCTTCTCGCCTTTCCGCGTCGCGAGGCGCTGGATAGCCCTGCTGCGCCTCAGGCGCCGCCTTTGCGGCTTGCCATTTCCGTCCCGTGCGCACCGCCGCGTCCCGCCTTTTCGCTCTCCCTCAGTGTGGCGAGCTGCGGTGTGGCCGCACCTGAGGCACTAACCTTCCCTCCAAGGCCATGGAGAAGGAAAAGCCGTTTAAGCTGTTTGTGCCACCGCGTCTGAGCGGTGGCCAAGTGTCTGCAGTTAAGCCGCAGGCCAGCGCTCGGGCTATAGGGCTTGGCCAGGTCAGGCTCCTGAGGCAGTGGTGTGTGATTGCGGTGGGTGGGGGAACTGAGGCAAGGTGCCCTGGCAAAGCCTGGGGCCTCTGTCCTGGGAAGGATTTACACAACGTTGTTTTAATGTAAACCATTAGGGCAGGCAGAGGGATGAGCGTTTTTAAGTTTGGTTGCCTTGGGTCCTGGGTATAATTAGAATGAAAGAATTCTGAATTGTCAAATCTGTGAGACCTTAGGAACTGGACCTACGTTTTCTGCTTTTATTTCTGTCACAACCCAAAAGACTCATTTTCTTGGCTGTTTGCTATGTATTTTAAATTTCAACTGCAAATGACAAGTAATGTATGCTTGATGTGGATAATTCCGAGCAGTAGGTTGGGAGTGAGTTCTGCCTCGCTTGGATTTATTGCACCTGCCACAATGAAAAGTAGAGTGAGTGTGCTACCACGAGGCTCTAAATGCTTTGAATTCTACAAGGTGTAGATTTTTTTTTTTCTTGGTGTTGAGGTTTCCTTTTGAATATACTTAAGATTCAAATATGACAGAAAATGATTATGCTGTATACAAGACAATTTTAGCTGCAAAAGTTCATTTGACAAGGTGTTCTAAAAGGCACAGAAATTTCTCAGGGCCATTTTAGAAAATACTGTTGAGGGAAAAACATAAATACTGGACTTAAGGAAAAAAATCACTTGGCTTTTTTTTTTTTTTTTTTTTTTTTTTTTTACCATGCGAATATGAACAAGCATGTAATAGCAAATACCTTTATAGCTAATGAAAAACATCCACGCCTGGGGTCACACATACTCAATAAAGCAAACTATGAAGGACAGACTATTCTAAAAACCACAGTGAATTAGAAAGCAATCAGGAGAGATGGAAAGCCTTTTCATTATCTTGTGCTTTTAAAATACTTTGCAGTTGACTTACTAATGAAAAGTTCTATTTTCAAATTATTTTTTTGTTTGTTTTTCTGGGATTTGTAATCTTGCTTTTCAAACACGACTATAAGAAGTTAATTTTTAACTTTATCCAGGGCTTTGGCAAATGCTCGGGTGATGATTTTAATTTGCCCTTTGTAATGACCAGTGCACCAAACCATGATGAAATCGCTGATTCAGGTAAGCCTAAAATGAACATTAATCTTGCACAACATGTATATTTTAGTTACTTGACTATCATCTTGAATGTTCATCATGATTAATTTCGCAATGTCATACCTGTTACTGTGTTATTGTTGCTCTTTTTAATAAATTTATCAAAATCTCTCCGTGCAGATGCAATTTCAAAGCAAGTAAAACTTTGGTCTGATGTAGATGAAGAGGTCAGTTAAGTACATGCTTTGCATATCTTGTTTTCTTAGGGCTTCCTAATATTTAATTTGTTCCTGAACAGTTCCATAAGCACCATCCCATGGGTAGTTTAGATAGAGGAGGAAGAATTATTTTCCGTATCACCTGTTTAATTCGGTATTATTTAGAAAACATATAGTAAAATGCCTAGATGTAAACTTCTGTATATCAAGACAGTTTTCTTTTTTCTTTTATTTTTTAAGTGTGTGGGGATTCTAGGAGTTTTAAGATTGATTAGAATACAATTTTGGTAATAAAGATATCTAAATATTTTTGTGAACTTGATTCTAAAATATCTGTTGAAAGGCAAAAGCATTGAAGTCAGAGAATTCTTAGAAAAATTATCCCAGTTGTCTTTTTTGACTTTACTACTTCTATAAATCAATTAATTTAGTGGCATGGCTTCCTCAAACATTTGTTTGTGTTGGCCTTTTTACTGAAATTGTTCTGCCTTATTGCAACTCTGTGTAAGCTAATTATTATTAGTAGCTGACTGTGCTTCCCAAATATGGAATACTGTTTGCTGCAATAAAATTGAACTTGTTTATAACTCTGTGTAATCATGTTCATCTCCCCAAGGACTGAACTACTTTTATCCCTAGCAGCTGTTAAATTACAGTCCTGATTGTAATGATATATTGATGCAGCCAGAAAAAAAGGATAGCCTTAAGCGGCATTATACCTAAAATTTATTTCAGACTGACCATGGGGGTATTTTTCAGTCATTTACGTTGCATTTGTGTTCCTTACATATTCTGTAATGTGTGTTGATACATGCCCAATGGATGCAGTAAATTTCTTTCTTGGTTATGTAGATGCTTGTACCACCATCTGTGGGGAAGAATACTCCTTTGCTGTTTCTGAGATAAGTGTGTGTCTAGAAATATTGATCAACTAGTATCTGAGATTAAATTCTGATTTTAAAATAGAGTATAGAAACAATGAATGAATTGTATTCAAAACTCTACAAAGAAGCAGAGAAGATTAAGAGATGGAAAGTAACTGTAGAATCAGAACTGAAGCAGAAAGAAAGAAAATTGCAAGAAAATAGAAAGATTATTGAAGCACAGCGTAAAGCCATTCAAGAACTGCAGGCCAGTATTATACTATTGAATATCTAAATTAGATAGATCTTAATGAGTTAGTTTGAATGCATTTAATAGCCCTTTGTCTTTGAGCTTAGCGTTTGTCTTGTGAAAATGTTTATTCTGAAAAGATGTGCAAGTGCACACCTACACCCCCCCATGCACACACACACATTTGAACGTACCTATGGTTAACATACCTCAAATATTTCAATGATAAATTACAAGGTTTTATTATCTTTGTACAAACTGTCAAAAGATTGCTCAGCATGTCATTTCAGATAAAATGGATTTCTGTTTTCTGATGCAGAAAAATATTTTAATGTGAGACTTGAAAAGTGAAAGAATACTTCTGGTATATTTTTTAATAACCATGTTCTTTTGTACTTATCCCTTATAAAATCAGTTTGAAAATGAAAAACTAAGTTTAAAACTTGAAGATGAAATATGTGAAAATAAGGATCTTATAAAAGAGTAAGTAGTACATTTAGATATTTTTGTAAAAAATAAAGTTTTCTTGCTAAAAACTATTAGTATGGTCAATTAAAAATAGCTATTAAATTGTGCAGTTCATCAAGCCTTTGCACTTTCACTATTTTATGTATGCAAAGTACCATTCATCCCTGAAAAAAACATATTAAGGTATTCTTCCCTTCTTTCAGAAACAGTGCTTCAAAGCATATGTGTAATCTGCTCAAGGAAACCTGTGCTCATTTCACAGAGAAGTCCACCAAATGTAAATGCTATTTAAATCTTTATTTATCAAGCTTTCTATAAATTTCTATACATTTTTTAAGGAAAATGCTATTATTTTGTTCTAAGTTTTAAAATATATTATTGACTTCAGATTTTAATCATATGAAATCCAAAATTGTTATTTTAATATTTAAGATCTTTTCCTGGCTTTGTCTTAGATATATCAGAAGTGACTACTTCTTTTTCTTCTTTTTTGCTTTGCTTCTGCAAACACGTATGGATAGATTTACTGTATTTCTTGGTTTAACTGTTTTTTACTGTTATGTTTTGAATTATCCTAAATTGTTTTCTTGATAAATAATAATAGCTTCATTATTATGATATAGCGTCAATAGCATTATGAAACTGAAGTTGTTCAAATAAAAAGATGGAAGTTGTGCATAGTCTTATGGGTGTCTGCTGATGTGTAGAAAGTAAATACAGAACCTTTATGACAGCTTTTCAAATGCAGGGCATTTTGGTGCAGTATTATTTAACAACATTAATTTTATTAATATTTACTTAAATTGATAAAGAATTACATTGTTCCGGGGTGGGGGGAAATATAAAAGCTGAGCTTGCTTAATATCTCAATGGAAAATACATTTTCTTTGGATTGTATAACCTTTGGTGTACTGTATGTTCACGCTGACTAGCTAAAATAAGAAAAGAATAGATAATTCTTTTGAATTTAGTATGCTATTTGAGCCGAATGGCTTGGAGAGATTAAGCTCTTTTTTCAAAGTAAAACGTAGCACATTGTTATTTTGATAGATGAACATGAAAGAGAAGAAACAAGACAACTATATATGGAACTTAACAACAACATTGAAGTAAGTGATGTATTTAAATATGTGCTCATTGCTCTTGTCCTTAAAGTCCATTCTGCATGTTGAGTCAGTTTCGGCAAGAAAGTTGAGGGGGTATTCACTGAGGCGTTTTCCTGGAGGTGGGAACTGAGTATTGGCACAGTTAGGTAGTGGGGAAACTGAATGCAGGTCTCGCATTGTAGTGAAATAATGTACTCAGCTGTCATCTCTGAAAAAACCAAGTCAGTCCTGCTTCCCCCCCGCCCCTCCCAGCCCCCCAGAGATCCCTATTTGTATAATGTGTAATTAAATGTGTACAGAATACACATATGTAAATATTTGTACATACATAGGTATGCACGTGTGTGTATGTGTAATAGAGTTGACTCAGCAGGATTGAAACATTCTTGGTATTTGCAGAAGTAGAGCTTTAGGGGGAAATGGGACATTTGGAGAAGAGACAGCATTTTGAAGAACTGTGCCTTTGGACTTAAAATCTAAAATAGGTGAAAATCAGGCACACAGTTCTTTTTTTTAATAATGGAGGTCAGATATATTACAGTTACTGTACTGGATGTTTTTCTTTGGTGAAAAGTACAGTATACTTGCATAAAGATGAACAAAAAAATTTTTAAAAGCTACAGCAATAACAAAATGATAGAAACTGATAATTATATGTAGAATAGGAAAAGTAAGGTGTGAGTGTTAAATCTTTCATTAATATGCTTCCTCAGCTTGAAGAGGATTTTATTAACTTTTCCCCTACAAAAATTGAGACCATTTTATATTTATACTGGAGAAATATGAGGCATGCTTCTAGTACTGTTTGTTTTCAAACCATAAACATCATTCTTTGTTATAGAAAGTATCTAGTTTTATATGAATATAATGTGTACATATAATATGAGTACATGTTTATAGTTTGTGTACATATTGAATGTTGCTTTTAGAGGATGATAATGGCATTTGAAGAACTTCGTGTGCAAGCAGAGAACACCAGACTGGAAATGTGTTTCAAATGTGAGAGTCCCGCTTAGTCTGTGCTGCAGGCATAACACTCTTGTAGTTTACATATTTTATTGCATGCGGTTTTGAGACAGAAGGGTAGACTGTTCTATAATTGTGCACTATTAGCACTGTGATACTTCTTTTGTGAAATGTGTCCTGGAACATCATTTCATGGTAATAAGTGACAAATGCTTTTTATTGCTGTTTGTTTCAAAGGAACAGTCACAGGATGTGGTCAGCAAAATTCAGTCTCTTTGAAAAAAGTATTTTAATTAGTGAGTCTCTTGTCTCATAGCTTATCTGAGTCTTAATCCTATTTAAATAAATTAGAAAATTTCCTAAAAAAGTTAAATTTTCTGGAATGATGTAGGTTTTCTCAGGAACAGTTTTGCATTTCTGAAACAAGTTTTATATCCAATGAATTGTGCCATTACTATGATAACTAATTTAACAAGTTTGCACCCCTGTCTTGCTTCATGCAGCCTGCCGTAAGAGGACTGGGGCATTGTATTATTTTTCCCTGATGTTCCTGGAACATTTTTTGGAATCTTGTTTTTCTAATTTTCACTTACTTTACAGACAGAATTAAAAGTTAATCTCTAAATCTAGATCTTGTTTTATTAAACTGATAATGTGCTTCTGTATAGCTGAAGAAATTTTCATTTTGTATTTATTTACTCTCTGAAGTGTTTGTTTCATTTCCATATGTGCATCTCTCAATCTGTTAAGAAATATATGCAGTAATGGTCTAATTCTGTGAATGTATTATAAAAGTATTCTGTCTGATACGGTAACAATTTCAAACATGACTTCCGGAGGTGATTTTTACGAAATGAATTGTGCAACTGTATAGTTACAACTAATCTTAAAATAGAAATTAAGCTTAACTTAAAGTATATTTTAATTAACTATTGATACTGCTATATCTCAAAAGTAAAAGAAGAATCAGAAAAACTGGACAAGTTTGAAAAAGAATACGAACTGGAAGTCAGTATGAAAGAAAAACAGGTTTGTTTTAATTCTTAAGAGAAAAAAGCTACAGATTCCTTAACTAATATTTGAACTCTTTTGCTTTCATGACTTACTGATACGTGAAAAGAAAATAATTATTCTAAAAGTGATTTGTTTGTAAAATATGATTTTGGAAGGATGGAAATTAATATTGCAAATGACTTTTAAAATGCGTGTTCCTTATGTGTTATTTGGGATAAAATATGAATTAGACTGCTGTATCCTCATGAGCGATATCTTCATAAGAGAATTTAAAAGCACCATGTTAATACTGAATCTTTATCCTGTGCTTTATACGTAGACTTGCCTCTCTAAAAATGCCTTGTGCAGAAGCTCAAAATTAGCAAAGCATTCATCAGCCCTTGTAGCTTATTATTATTATTATTATTTATTTATTTTAACAGCAACAAAGTTTGTATCTGGTCTGTGGGCTGATAAGAGAGCTTTTGAAATGGAGTTCGAAATAGGTTTTTGGCATTGATTATGAGATAGTCATGAAGGAAGACAGAGTTAGCAGAAGAAATTAATTATGATAAGAATTGATAATGTGTGATAATTTGTAAGCAGGAGACTGAAAATCAGGGCCTTAATCTGAGTCTGTGGCTCAGAGGGTCAAGAATTTTTGGTTTATCTGAAGGTGGTTGTGTCATTGGAAAGAGGCAAGGAGGGTTTCAGAGCATCGGTAAGGATAAAAGAAGTAACAGCGGGAACTGCATTTCTTGATTTGGGACTTCTAACTTTAGTTAGGCTCCAGCATCAATAATCTGTTGGAACTCATGTTCTAATTTTGAACTGAAGATTTTCTTGTATCTAAAAATAATATGACCAATGTTTGGCTAAAGCCACCTTATTTAAATAGAATGATACCAGCATGAATGCAAATTATATATAATGAATAAATGAAGATACAAATCCGTCATCTTTTCTAGACTTCATTATAATATAACTTTACTTTTGTTAGATATCAGACTTGACCATACAGAATGGTGAAAAAGATGAAATAATAAGAAATATCAAAACTCAGTTACAGGAATCCAAAAGCAAGATTGCTGACTTAGAAGAAACAACAAGTAAGTATTAACTCTATTATATTAAAATATTGTTGATTATAAGAAAAACTGGAAACAGACTCATGATAACATTAATTTGTTACTATTCAAAAGCACATCTTTGAGGTTTTGCAGGTTAGTTTATTGTTTGAATCAGAAGTTTGGGATGTAAGATCTGGATTTTTAGTATAATCTGTTTAGGCATAAAAATACAACCTTTATTTCCTTTCAGTGATTTTTCTCTTAGGGCTTAGACTACCGTCTATTTTCTTATTGACATGACAGTTTCCTGATGAGGGATTTTTTGTTCTCATTTTGCTTCTGAATAAACCTGATGTGAACATAGTTATACCGTTACAAAACTGCCATATAGCCCATCTTTCCTTTTCCATGAAAGATAACTTTTATCAGGACATTCTATAACAATGTCTATATTATGGGAATTCTTCCATTTCAGTTGTACTAGTACAATAAAAATAAGAGATATAGTACTGTTTTCTAGTTACTGGATTGAATCATTTCACATCAAAGTAGTGAGGGAACTTAATATCTAATAGCTATTTGCTAGTCCATAAATAGTTGCACTCTTTGTTCACCTAGACATACTTTCATATCTTTGCCAGATAACCCTTCACCAAACATTGCAGCTTTTCTATTTAAATAGAGTCCTATTAAGAAAAAGGCAAAGGAGTGACTGGGACAGGAAGTGCAAATTGCAGAGATGTTTCCTTTGGTTTTGCAAACTTATTGTCAGGAATCGCTGAGGAAACTTACTTTCAGCGCTAGCTTTTCAGTGCTTTTTAAGCCGTTTATATTAGGTACAATATACAGTACAAAATACTGTAGAATATGATTTCAGTACAAAATACTGTAGGATATGATTTAAATATCTTTGTTCTTTAGAACTGAATAAATTAATCATCATACAGATAAATAAACATGACTGGCACATGGGAAGGCAGGCATGGGTATCGAAATGGCTGCATTTCATTAAATTTCATAAATGTATATTGTTATATGTTTCAGTTTTTGTTATTAAAAAAGCTGAATAAGCACCTTTTTTTTTTTCTTCAACAGTATAGATAAGCACATTATGAAGCTTTAATAGGTTGTAGGAATGTATTTATTTGTAAAACAGAAATGCAAGTACTTTTATTAAGCAAGTTATTAAATATAAGCATGTATATTTCTGCATAGGATATGAAGGGAAGATGTTAAAAGAATCCCAGATCATTCAGGATCAGTTGAGAGCAGAACTGGAAGAAGCTAAAGTTTCGTTGCAAAAGACAGAGGTAGAGCTTGTTTATCATTTTCTAGTATAAATAGATTACATAAGTATTTGAATAAATTACTACTGATACTTCAGAAATGAAACTTTAATTGTAGGTAGTTGTTAAAGCACATATATGCAAGGTTTTTTTTTTTTTTTTTAAGAATATTCAGAAGAGCTTAGAAACTGAATTGCAGACTGCAGTGAAAACATTAATTCAGGTCACTGGAGAAAAAGAATCACAGATGGAAGAATGTAAAAAAACTAAGGCTCTGCATGCATCAATGGTAGATGAATTTGAAACTTCCGTTTCCAATTTCAAAAGTTTACTGGAAAAAGAACAAAATAGGTAAACTGAACAGTTTGCATTCATTGAATGATCTTATGGATAATGTGCTAGACTATGTGCTTGTGAATAAAATTAAATTATGTGTGTGATCTGGTGTAACTTTTTTTAAATACTCAGTAATAACTATAGAACTACAGTAGCTAAGTTTAACTCATAAAGATGATTGTACTTTCTGACTATATAGATACTAAGAGTTCTTAGCTAAGTAATCTCATTTGGTACCTGAAAGTCTTTCTTAAATACTAAAACATTTAGTGAGAATGATATTCTTCCTTACCTAATAACAGTACTGTTTAATACCATTGACTATAATTCCAGGTCTTCCGAAAGTTAAAAAACTATGTATTTGTCAAAGAGCTTGATAGGAACTAAAATCAACCTTTCTAAGTATAAGAACAGTACAGTGTATTTTTAGTAATTTATCAAACCGAGTATTTTAAGAATCAATATTTTGGGATACTTTAATGTCTTTTAGGTAGATGACTTTATGGTCTAAGTATGCATATATATGTATACATATATATTTGGGATTATCTTCGTTGATGAGAAAGTAAATTTTTTGTTCTCTAATTTTCATAATCCTTTTAACAACTATGTGTACACATATATGTATTTGTTTTTATGTCTGCTGTTCAGGAATTGTTTTTTCAGATGTTTTTTATTTATTTATTTTTTGATACTTGTTGCAGGTAGTTATATCACCTGCTTGTTGAAAGGCAGATGTATTTAAAATACTTGCAGTAGGACTTTGTCTTATTATCCTTAAGCTGTCAAATCTATTCCTGTGTACTATACAGAGGAAAAAAATCATATAATTTTCCTAGATTGAAGATATGTGAAGATGAGTCGAAACTGCTTACGTTGGAGCTCGAAAAGAAGTGTTCAGAACTAGGTAAGACTATAGGGGGGGAAAAAAAAGAAAAAGAACTAAGTTAAGGTAAATGCTACTGAAAATGGACCATCCCTGTGCAGTTACCATTTTAGTATCTTGTGTCCTAGCTTATGGTCCTCTGATACTGAGTATCATACTATATAATAACTACTGAGTGTTTTTTCCGCTCTTTTTTTTACCCCTTTTTAACAGTCCATCTCCAAATCATTCTTTACAATATTTGTATCACTTATTCTAGGAAATACAGGGCCTCTTTGGGATCTGCCCTCAGTTCTTTCATTGCTTTAAATAGTGTTTTGCTATCCTATGATTTCTAGATAGCCCCTCTTTAGCCTCCAGCTAAAGAAACCTACCTTTAGTATTGTTATCCCAGTGCAGCAGATGTTTCTAAATATCTCTAGTCTATAAATAAAAGATGGGAAGTAAGGTTTGATGTTTTCCGAAGCATTGAGAGCATTTTTAAGGTAAAATAACTGCTGTTGGTTTTCTGGAACAAGAAGAGATAAGACTGTGATACTTCCAGATGAAAAGTGAGTCTGGTGTCCTGTAGTTGTGAAAAATAATAGTTATGTGAAGATGCGTGTATAAGTACATTTCAAATATCTTTACTAATATATTTCTTTTTCAGCATATTCATATTAATATCTTCAGTTTTACTTGAAACCACATTTGCAGAAAATACAATAGGATCTGATTTTTTTCTTAAATGAACAGTTAGTTTCTCTTCAGATAAGTGTTCACTAAGGTCTTTTTGAATAAATTTTTTCAAATCTGCAATTAAATAAACTCATAGGTTAGGCTTGAGCTTTAAGATTTCTGAACTTAATGAAATGAGTCTTGCAAATTTGGTACTGTAAAGGGACCAATGCTTTATACTGTCTGCTAATTATATAAAATTATTTCTGCTTAATGAATTTTATATTGCATGTGCTGTAGAAGAGATGACTAAATTAAAATGTGACAAAGAAATGCAACTTGAAGAGCTATCAGTAACACTGGTAAATATTGTTCCTTTTACTATTCTCATGGCATTCATTTTTCATATGAAGTCTCTCCTGCATTATAAGTAGCTTTCATGCACTGTAAAACACTTTGATTCGCCATATTGTTGCCTGCCGTATCAAGTTTATTTGCCTTTTTTTCTTTTTTTTTCTTTTTTGAGTTTCTTTGCCTTAACTTGTCTTTTCAAGTATTTCAGTTTTCCTTTTTCAAGGACCTATTTTTTCCTCTGTTTTTCTTGTTTTGTTTGACTTGAGATTCTGGTCCTTTGCTCTTTCTTTCACATTTGTTCAAATACTGCTTCCTCTGGATAGAAGGATTACTTTTTTTTTTTTTCCAATTTTGCCTTGTACTCATTTTCTTATGTTGAATCATTCTGAAAAAATAGATCTCTTTTTTTGTGATGAACATAAGCTCAAATCTTGTGAATGTGATATTTAAGGCTAATTTTTCAATTTATTTTTTAACAGTAGAGGTAACTTCATGGCTGGATAGCTTTGTATTTCTCCTTTAAAAACTAGACCTTTCAAAGGCTTATTTTATAAAGACTATTTTGATGTTTAAAGAATAACCAAGCTTATGCCATTCTGGAAAGGCAGTGGAAGAAGGTTATGAAAAAGTTCGCAGCAAGATTATGTATTGACAAAATGTTGGGATTGTTTTATTCTTTGTTAGTTGCTGGTTATGGTGAGGTGACTTTACTGCAGTGTGTACTATGTGCAGAGAAATGCCCACTGAGTTGATATGCACTTCTTTAAAGAAAAGATATGCAAGGCTAAGTCTGCAGAAAGCTCTCCTGGGTTATAATATTCATGCTACCTGAACTCCCAGTGTAAGGGGTGTTCTTTTTTTTCCTTATCATAGAAATTTCCTGAAGTAAGCAGCCTTGATCTCTGTAAATTTTACTAAATCTTGTTAAAAGCCTTTTTTTCAGGTACAGCTGTCTGAATCATGAGATAGACTTTCATTGCGGCATAGTGTTAAGATCTTAAATTTGGTAGTTTAACAAGAAAGTAATCAGTTAAAGTAACAGGGTGTGAAACCATGTCTGCATTTTATATATTGCATATTGTATATATGCTGAACATGGAATTTTGTAAACTGAGTTTTATTAATGTTCTTAAATAGGAAAAAGTTCAAGGACTTCTAGTGGAGAAGAAGTATCTTGAGACTACTGTTGAACAACTGGAGGAGAGAGACAAGGAAATGAAAAAGAATCTCCAAGTTAGAGAGGTCTGAATAAAGGGTGATTCTAATTTGTTTTAAATTATTATATTACACATCATTGCTTGAATAAAAGAACATCAGAAATGTCTTACTGAGTGCAGTACTGCACTCCCAATAATGTGGTAGAAGATGCTATATAGAATTACATATATATATATAGTGTGTGTGTATATATGTGTGTATCTTGTCTCCGTGTGTATGTGTGTGTGTGTGTGTGTGTGTGTGTGTGTGTGTAGTCTACAAGCCTGACTATTGTCTATGGTCTATTCTACTTACATTCCTATGGTCACTGTATTCAGGATGTTAGAGGAAACATCGTGTTGCTCTTCTTTATTAAGAGTTTATGATCTTGTTCATGTGTCATCTGTTTGTGTCAACAAATTCCAGAAGTTTGCTACCTGTTGTGTTTAAAAATTAAACATACACACTGCATTCAAATGTGTGTGCCTACATGCACACGCTCACGCACGGAAACACATAACATAAACTCTCTGTCTGTTTTAAATCAGCTGCTTACATATGACGACATTGTATCATCAGTGATTCAGAGGAAATAGTATTCAAAACATTTACATATTATAAGTTATATTACATTCCCCATTTCTGAGGGAAGAGTTTTGCGTCACAGTTCAGCATGCATCCAAAATGTATGCTTATGCTAACATACAGTACTAGAATGCTCTTTTTTTGTTTTAATTTTAAGTAATAAAAACACTTATGATGTATAAGGCAACAATGTCTTTGTATGTTGTTATTTAAATGCTGAGAGAAAGGAAACTTTGTAGCATTTTTGCAGAGTTGTTAGTTGAATTATACAATGGGGGACACAGTATGCATATGAGAATTAGATATCTCACACATGCATTTACACTACAGAGATCTAAAGAGGCAGACTGGTTAATTTATGGCATGTCTGCAGTTTAATTTTAACTTGAAGTTTTATATTGTCTGTTAATTACTGGCAGTTTTAACGAATTGTGATTTTCATAAGTAAACACAAAACTTTCTTCTGCAGAAGGAAATATGTGATTTGAAAGTACAGCTGACTGACACAATGGAAAACAAAGAAGCTTGCTTTAAACAGGTTATGACACTGAATGCAGATCTTGAACAGAAGATGTATGATCTTTTCTGAAAAGTTTGCATTTGTATGATATTTTTGTTATACATAAGTAACTGTAATATACTGTGAAATAATCTTTACTTTTCTAAAAATTTTGAACTTGAGTACAGTACAACAGCCTTTAAATATTTACACTAATAAAATATATTGTTGACTATCTCAGTGACTTATATGTATTAACATGAAGAAAAAGTACTTCTGAATGTTGACTCTGCTTTGACCTTGATGTTGGGCTATATCTCTTCCAGCAACCATTATTTGAAAGTTGCTTTTTACTTTTTTTTCTTCCTTTGAGAACCTCTTCACATCACTATTACTCTATACCAAGTTTGTTGCAAAACTTGAATTTGCAGATATAGGCCTGAACTTTTTTATGATAGTTTTTATAATGGTTTTGTAACAGTTAAATTGAACTTAAAATGTATTTGCAAATTTCATTTTCTTTTTTTCTCTGACCTTGTATTTTAAATTAGGCTAAGGAATGAGCAACTAACAGTGGATTTCAATAAGCTTTTATTAGAAAAGGAGCAGATAGCACAGGAGAAAAGTTATATAGCTGCAGAACTCAAGAAACTACAAGTAGGTTGTGAGGCAAGTTGTAAACTTTTATCCGTTTTTGAAGGAGAACATATAAATCATAGGACATATTTGAAACCACCTTTTTTATTTAAAAACAAAAGTAAGTGCAGTTAACCCTTGTAATAAGGTGGACTGGGATCTGTGAAAGCTCTCACTTTGAGTTTTAGTCATTTTACTTGCATATGCCTTAGGATAACAGAAAACAAGAAGAAAATACAAGGAAGTTATTAGAAAACCTGGAAGAAGAAAACAGCCAGTTGAGGCAAGTAAAAATACTATCGAAGGATAATATTATTTAAAGAAGTAGTCTTGATTCCATCACTAATGTTAATAGTGTGTTCATATGCTATGTTCTGTGATTTCTAGTAATACTAGTAATTACTAATAATCTGGTAATAATGATTTTTTGGATTATCCTATTTGTGAAAGGAAAAAAAAAGTTATGGGTTAAATGTGGTAAAACATAAATGACTAAATGTTAAACTTTGACACAATCTTTGTCTCACCCAAGCTGCATTAATGAGCAGCCTTCCGTGTTTCATATGTACTTTACAGTCTTACAGATTAGAATATATTTCATTCAAGAAATAAGATTTTTTTTCCCATACCTGACATCTGATATGTATTTTTTAACCTACCATCCACTTTTGCATCTTTTCAGTGAAAAGCTTATCAAACTCTCATGAATACTAATTGTTCTAACAAAGCAAGTTCTTTTAGAAATATCTATTTTTCTTTTTAAGTAGTAGTGAAAGAACTCTGAAATTTTAACATATTTATTAATCCACACTTTTTTGTCATATAGAAATGAACTAAAGTCCTTGAAGGAGAAGATGGCAAAGAAGGGTGAAGAAATTAAAAATAAACTGGATGAAAGTGAAGAAAATGTATGAACGTCATGTGCTTTATCGTCTAAAAGTATAACATTACCTGTAGGAACCAATGTAAAACTTCTGTTTTTTTTCCTGCAGATCTTTATCTGAGATACAGTCTTTTGGAGAGATTGTTTTCCTTTTAGCACTATTGCAAATTAAATTAAGTATATATGCTTAATCCTTTATTCTTGAAAGACCAGGACTTCCACTAGTAAATTTAATCTGTACATGGAGGCTTATGAGCCTAGATTTATTTCAGGGATGCAAATAAGCCTTTTTTTTTTTTTTTTTTCTTCCATACCATTTAGTAAAGTTTAGCTGTTAATATGTAGTAAAACTTATACTATAGCACTATGCAAATATTTTTATTTTCTAACTATGTTTTCAAACAGATTTTTAACGTCATACTGACTTTCAATATTTAAATGTAAAAATAAATTTGAAGATAATCAGGGCATGGAATAGCTATCTTAGCTTGTGCAAAGAAATATAAAATAGAAATTGTCATTTTTGAGGGGAATTTGTGCTTTGAATTCATAATAATTAGTAACAGTTTTACTGTTACCCTACTTCTATTCTTTAAGAGAGTACCAAAATTCTGATATTTTGACCAGATTTGAAAACTATTATAATTTCAGACTAGAACTATTGAAAATGAAATTTCAAGAAAGGAAAAGCAGTTGAAGATTCTAGAAAATAAGGTATAAGCATTCATTTTTTCAGAGATAGTAGAGAATTTTGATATTTCAAATAAGATAATAATAAATATGATATTTATTATAATTATAATAATAAATAATGATAAATATAAGATATATATTTAAATATATTTTATTTTTTGTGGTGACGCTCCTAACAAACTGTTTCACTAGGATTAGTCTTATGTTGGGCTAGCTAAATTCTAACTGTATTTCGTATTTCTAAGTCTGTAAACTTAAAACTGAACTTTAAAAGTCTGAAAATTAAGTTGTCAATTTGTGCAAACCCCATTAGTTCTAATGGGACCAAAACACATGCTAAGCTTTTACAATTAATAAAGTTCAGTTTTAAGTTTACAAACACACAAATTAATTTAGCTCGTGCACTGTACGTGTTTAAGTGCTTTGACAGAAATATCTTATGTTGTTTGTTAACAAACTGACAAAAATGTTTGTTTCAATTTCAAATATTTGAAATATCTCTTTTAGTTGAATAATTTAAAGAAGCAGATGGAAAATAAAACCAAATATATAGAAGGCCTGCAACAGGAGGTAGGCACATTTTAAAGTCACAAATCCATAAAACAGTCAACCATTTGGTGATTACTGCTACTATTAAACAATTATAGTCTAACATAATGAATTTGATATCACTAGGTAATTTATAGCATTGTCTTTTTTTTTTTTTTTTTTTTTTTTTTTTTTTTTTTTTTTTTTTTTTTTTGTAATCTTACCTCTGAGCAAATTGAAGAATAACCTTTGGAGTTACTTGATTTGTAAAATTGTCTGGTGTTTTATTTGCTTCTGAGGTTTGTATTTATTTTTTTAATGCAGGTATAGAAAAATTATCTTGAACTTTTGTAATTTTAAGTTAGCACATAGTATCATCCATAGAAACTGTAAATAAATATAGAAATGTGTAGAAATATGTTTCCATTTTTTTTTGTAATAGCATCTGCATGTTTTCTGCAGTATTTTCTTCCTGATTTTGGAATGACTATATCATTATATCATCAATTCTTCCTTTATAATACAGCACAGGAGTAAATTTATGTTCTATATAAGCTGCATACCACTAGAGCTAGAGGTGCCATGCGTATTGGGTTTTTCTTCCTCATAAGGTCATAAAGTATAAGAGACAGTATTAGTAAAGAAGTTGAGCAGTCTTTTACTTGGAGAATTGATCTAGAAACTGAATTGCACAAATAGACAATAAATAGAGAGTTTTCAGCTTGCTGAGAACTGGAATTTTGAGGATTCCAGACTATGCAGTTATTGTGTGATTCTGTTAACTTATTAAACTTACTGAACATATTTATTTTATTTTAACAGAATAAGGTGCTGAAAAAGAAAATTACAGCAGAAATCAAGAAAACAAGTATTTATGAAGGGAAGGTAGGTTTAAATATCTTCTTGTAAAAGAAAAGGGTAAAATGAAAAGACAAGTTTTTTTTAAGTCTCAGTTATTATTGATAATAAGCATGTACTTAAACTTTTTTATGGAACTAGGACAGCATTCAACATTTGACAAGAACGTGATTGTAATTTCTGGAAGATGCTTACATTTTTAATCAATGGAAATTGGAGTATCAGACATCTATAAGAGATAGACATCAAATTTCAAGGAATTTGCTTCCTTCAAATACCTATTTTTTAGTTCCTACTATACTGAACATTTTTTGGTAGTGCTTTCCTGCTGGCAAAATAAAAGGGCCAAATAGAAAAAATATACATATATTATTCATTTTAGGTAATTTCTGCTCTGCCCTGATAAGTCTCTCATTAGAATAGTGCTCAGTTTTGGGTACCACACTTCAAGAGATATATATATATCTCTTGGGTATATTTTGGGTACCACACTTCAAGAGATACATATATATATATGTATAGACCGATGTGAGGGCAGTCAAATGATCTGCTGGCTAGAGTTCCCTCCTCATGAGAACTTGAATGTTAAATAAGAAAGGATGTAGTCATATATCTGAAAAGTACTGCATGATTCTATTCTGAAGTATTTTTTGAGGGCTTATTTAGTCTTTAACAACTAACAGGAATAATTTTACATTCTCAAAAGGTTACTAAATTACAATTAGAGATAGAAAATGTGAACAAGCAACATAAGGACACAGTTGACATTTATCAAAAAGAAATTGAAGCAAAAAAACTAACTGAAGATAAACTTCTTGAAGAGGTGAGAGTTGTTAAGTGTTACTGCAATTTTTTTAAGTGGGATAACTTGCCAAATGTGTGGTGTATTTTATGAAGCTATATAGGCTACACTTCTCAGACGTATGTAGAAATTTAATAGACACAAATGGAACTGCATGGCTGTAAACAAATCTTACAACACCATTGTGTTTTAAGTTGAAATATTCTTGTATGCCTTCTTAAGTTGAAATATTTTTGTATGTCTCCAAAAATAAGTAAGTACCTAACCAAAAGATCTTTTTGTCAGGATATTGTCCACAGAAAATCTAAACTTGGTGTAAATATACTTTAAGAAAATAAGACGATAACTTTCTTAATATTTATATTTTCATGCTTAAAATTTTGATAATAATGTCAAAAAATGTTAGGGCAAAGTGCTTGATTTGCTACGCAGTTACTTCTTACTGCTTGGAGTTCAACTTTGTGCTTATTTGACACAGGGAAATGGACTTACATTAGGTGTAGGTTTTACTTGCGCATCTTAAAAAAGTATGTAAAAGATGAAGGATTTAGGAAGAATCTTTAAAGAAAATAAGCACTGCATGAGAAAACTGTACATTGCACCCAGTGGGGAGGGAAGAAATGAAACTAAGATTTTTGTTAGCATGTTGTTCTTAATTGTTCATGAATTAGAAGAAACTTTCTACTAACAGGTAGAAAAGATGAGGTTGCTGGCTGATGAAGCAACAGTAATACAGAAAGAAACTGATATCCGATGTCAACACAAGATTGCTGAGATGGTTGCACTTATGGAGAAGCACAAGGTGGGAGATTTTAACAATTTCTGTGATGTATAGTGTGTAATACAGTGTTAAATAAAAACTCTTCCATTCCAGAATATTGCAAACTTAAAAAATGAAGCTTGATAATAATAATCTGATGCTTGGAAATGAATTTGAGCATGTGCTTGGGTTTCAATAACTAAAAATAAACTCATCTTCAGTTGAAAAACCAAAAAGTTTACTTGCAGATGAAATCTAAATTTTTAGGAATCATAAAGTGATGCAAACTAGTCAGTTCATAGATCCCTAAATACTTTACATAACGTGGTGATGGCAGCAGTCTTTTGAAGTTACTTTGTGTTTTTTGAGATGTTATATCTGGGCTTAATAAAGGAATATATATTTTTGTGTTTAGCAGGATTTTTATATTCAGGCTTCATGTGATATTCCTCCATCCTTTTGCAGTACATGTCAATTTGAGACAGTTTTATGAGAACTTAGTGACTTCAGATAGTTTAAAATAATGTATTTTAATTGACTTGTGCAGTATAGTTAGCAGATTAAGAAAAATAACATGGCTAACTTTTGTTTTCTTGCTTAAAAACGTCACTGTCTAGAGATAAGTCGTTTCTGTCACCTACAAAATAACACTACCTGTACATTTTCTATTGGGCTCTATATGCAGAGGTCTAAATGTTTTCTCTGCCTCCAAAGTAGCTTTATCTGGAAGAAAAAAACAAACAAACAAAACCCCCAGATTTTAAGGTTAGATATAGCTGTAATTATAACAATCAATCAAATAACTGTTTTGGGGTGTTTGTTTTTTATTCACAGCATCAATATGATAAAATGGTTGAAGAGAAAGACACAGAATTAAAACTTTTTAAGATAAAAGAGCATGAACAGTCATCAGAAAAAAGATCCATGGTAAGATCAACACTTCAGCAGTGAGTAATTTAATGGAAGGGCTGCTATCCTGCTCTAACAACACGTTCTGTTAGTATCTATCCTAATGTCTGCTTCCTTTTTTTGATTTTTTTTTTTCCTCCAAGTTAAGAATAGCTAATCTTTCTATTATCCATTTGCTTTCAGGAAAGTGAGTTATTGCATTTGAAAAGTGAACTGGCATGCCTTAAGGAACAGCTTAAAGCTGAAATTGAAGAAAAGGTATATTTTTTGTTAGTGTAGCACTGTGTGTGACATGCTTTTGAACTATAGTAATGACAGCTGTGACATGCATCTTGGATGAAGAATGTTTTTAATTATGCTGAGCATATGTACAACAACTAAACTCAAGTAAAATTATTACTTCCTATGACATAACTTTTTTATTTTCTCTTTAGAAGAATCTTGCCAAAGAACATCCCAAAAATACAATTCCCGAAAAAGAAAAGAAGCACAAGGTAGTTTTATTATTAATTAATGATAGAATTTGATGACATTTGTATGTATGCAATCTGATTGAAGCTTCGTGTTAAATAATATCACTGGACAAAAGATATCAATTTGCTTTTAATTTGAACTTTTTAGAAAATACAGACTCACCTCCCTGAGACTCCTAAACCTCACTTAGATCTGGATTCTGCATCTATCGAGTCAAAAAAAAGATCATCTCCAAATTATATTCCTATAAAAGTCAATGTAGTGGAAAATAAAGAAACTTCTCCTTCAGGACCTGCAAGAAGTACCTTGTGCAGTCCATCGTTAAAGGTTTGTGACTTACAGGATAGTAATGAATTGTTTGTATGGTGTAATTTGAGTGTATTTTTTAATGCTCTAAAAACACTATTTTTGTTTGTGATAAGTAGGGTTTGAAAAGGTGGACAGTCACAAGATTATACACATCAGATATTAAAAACAATTTGGGAAAGGGCTCCAGTTGTGTTTTATTTTTCTTGCTCTGTTACCTCATTTTTCTTCCCTTCTTGGCAAACTAAAACTGACTCAACTAATTACTATAACTAAACTAACTGACTAAAACTAACTGTTTTAGAGGGCCTGTGAATTTAATATCATCACTAGTATCTTTTGTTGTTGCTTTTCACTTACTAGTAAAAGGAAATATTGTCTATTTGTAAAGGGCGTTGTTTTCCCCTTATGAAACAGAAGATTGCTTGTCTAGATGTAAAAACTATCAGTGTATTCCTGACTGCTTTGTTATAACTGTAAAGCCTTATGATTCTACCCTGTCAGAAGCTCACATGAAATGTTTTTATCAGAACAAAAGAATGATTATCATTTTGGTTTTAACTTTTCTAAAGATTCAATACTGCAAACAAGCAGAAGTTTAACTTCTAAGAATGTGTATGTCTGTGTTTGTGCATGTATAGTCCTTGGTATCGCTATCAACGGCTTTCGAAAAGCTTCTTCCTGTAGGTTTGGGTTGTGTTGCTTGTGTAGTTCAGAATATGAACTGAATATATGCCCATGAGATAGAGAGTGAATATAGTGTGCTATAAAACTCTTTAGGGGCTTTCTGTTCTTTTTCCTGTTTGGCAATGCAAAACAATATATTTAATTTTTGCTTTTTGGATCTCTGACACAACCTTGGTTATATGTTTAGTTTTATATTCTAGAAGTACCACTGAAAATAGAATTTTAGATTTGATTTTTTTTTTTTTTTTTTTTAGAAATATGTTATAAAAACTCCTCCAGTGCATAAGCTGCAAAATGAAAGCACGAATTGGCTTTCAGAAGGATGTGTGAGGAAGAAGCAAAAAGTGCTTCTGCGATTGGATGCTCAGTCAGATAGCTCTGAACAAAGTGACCTCCTGGTAAAAATCTAAAACTAATACTGTGCTATAATGATTTGCTATGTACACTGCTACATCTAAGAATGTATGTAGGATGTGGGGTTCTATAAACAGGACAAAATGTATGTGTATCTTTTTATTTCATTGTCTTTTCTGGAGACAGTTCATGTGTACCAAATCGGTAACCATATCATAAATGAAATACTATGTAAAATAAAAAATTATTTTTATAATTAAATTTTAAATTGTTTTTGAACCTCTGAGATTTTATAATAATAATTTAACTTTTTTCCCATGCTCTCGTATTTCTAAGGTAAAAGAAAAGCAATTTCTGAATTAATTAACTTTTTTCTTTTTTAAGAGCATAGTTTCAGATGAAGAAATCTGTAAAAAATTATACCAAGATTATCATCAAACTTTGCAGTTATGTACTATGACACCGAAAAAGGTATCTTAGCATTTCTTTTTGCTAACTGTGTCTTTTAATTTAATTTAGTACAGAAATTAATGAATAGGTTTATTTGTCTTCTTAGAAACCATTAACATCAAACGTGAAAACTACAGGCTCTGCACTGAAAATGACAAGTATGAGGAAAATGCGAGAGGCTGGATGGACTGAAGTTTCTAAAATGGACAGGAAAAGAAAAATGAAAGAAGCTGAAAAACTCTTTGCTTGAAATTAATATTATTTAATTAGTACCCCACAATTATTATTCTTTCAGAGTTGGTACACTGTTGCATTTTTTCTGTCTTATTCAGTAGATATTCAGTATTCAGGATTTCCATTTATTTCCTACATATGAATAATCTTGATAGATATATAACTTCATCCACCTGTACAGCATTTCCTGTATTTCATTCTCTAAGCAATAAGAAGCCTTGAGACAAAAATTAGCTCATTTTTGAAATTTTGAAAATTTTGAAAAGCCTTTTTAAAGGCTTAAAAGTCTACCATTGAAAATATTGGTTTTGAAGAAATTCAGTTATTTTAAATTTACTCTTTTTAATAATAATTTTAAAAAGAATATTGTCCAGTTACTTAAATGCTGAAGGTTTTATGTGAGCTTTTACTGGAAGTTGTATTGCTTTTGGTTCATTTTACAGGTTCTTATCTTTAAAGACTGCTTTGTTTTCAATAGCCACTACTACAGTTCCGAAATGTTTAAAATTGTATTTTCAGTAAAAATTGCTTAGATTTAAAAATGACTCGTATTCATAAGGAACAGGATATGCATACTTATTATTTTCAAATAGTAAACTCAATTTGGAGATTTAATTAAATGAATTGTCTGAAATGTGGAGTGTAGAACTAAATGTTGTTACTTTATGTATTAGAACACAGATCTAAATGGCAAGACATTCCTTCCTAAGGACTAACAACTCTTTCTGTATAAGCATAAAAATAACTTAGAACAAAATAGATTCTGGTGTTAATCCTTGCTTAATCTTGGTTCCACAACAAGAACAAAAATTTACTTCAGTTCCTAAAGATAAAAAGAAGAGTGCAGATGCATCTATCTAAAAATCAAAATTTTGGCTTCTTCTGAAGTGGGTAGCAAAACTTGCATGTTTCATTGTTTCTGATTAGCAGTTGTGTGCAGAGGCTAATAGTTTGGATTCTTTGTCTTATGTGTTGAGCACTGGTATTGCTGCTGTTGTATGTAACTATAAATATTCTCTAAAGTCTTAAAGAATTTAGTGTTTTTCTTCTCCATATTTTCTGAATGGAATGTGTTATGTAAGTAAAGTTTCTGAGAAGTTAGAATGACTTTTCCTCCTGGAGAGGTGTTTGATATTTTAAGCAGCTATATTATAAAAACTTAACATTCCACATAATATATCAACATTATCTTAGCTCTCCCTTAAAATATTGTAATGTCAGCTTAGTATACTTTGTCCTTATAAATAATTTTGCCCGAAAGTGTGAAGGGAAGGTATTATAGGCTCCTTGGTTAAAAATAAATATATATTAAAAGAAAATCCTCAGAAATATGCAGTAATTATTGAAAAAGACAACTCTTCTGAAAGCACGAATGTTATTCTGTTAAATTTTTAAGTGCGAAGGATTAATGAAACAGTATCTTAATTACCTAGTAACAAAACAACAACAACAAAAAAAAACCTCACAGTATAAATAACAGTGTTACTGTCATCCTTAACTTCCTAGAGACTTTTTTTTCCCTTGATACTCAAGGTTTTAATGTAATTTGCCTTGCTTATGTCAGGAGTACTGTGTAGGGGAGGGCTAATGAAAAAAAAGTCTCTACTTTCTTTAAGCCAATTTAGTTTTTGTTTGGAGTTTCAGTGCTGTAGTTTGTCATATCCATGATGGATGCTTTTCAGGTGGTCGTGTGAGAGAGGCCTAAGGCAGGGATTTATTTGATGTAAAAGCAGCGTCTCAGGACTTCATACCCAAAGCTAGAGATGTGGGCAAAAGGGCTCACCAAGTTCAGCAAAGGGAAATGCAATCCCTCACCTGAATAAGAATAATCCCATGCAGCAGAATAGGCTGGGGCCCAGCTGCCTGGACAGCAGCCTTGCAGGAAAGGCCCTGGGATCCAGCTGGACAACAGTTTTGGAATATGAGGTAGGAATGTTCTGCTGTGCTGAGAAAGGCCAATAGCATCCTGGGCTGCGTTAGTAACTGCTGCGTGCAGGCTGAGGGAGCAGATCCTTCCTGCTACTCAGCTTTAGTCACACCTTGTATGCTATTTCCCTTCTGGATTGCCCCACACAAGTAAGACATGGACATAATTCAAGCAAGTCCAAAGAAGAGTTGCAAACATGAATAAGGAATTGAATCATATGATAAATGAGGAGAGAGGGAGGGTGCCTGGATTGTTCAGCCTGCAGAAATAAGGGCCCAGGGCTATCAGTATGTATAAATACTTGATGGGAAGGAGTGAAAAAAACAGAGCCAGGTTCTTCTTGATGGCCTGCAAGGAAAGGATGACAGGGAATGGTCGCAAACTGAAATACAAGAAATTTTGTTTAGATATCGTATATGGGTAATTAAACACAAGAGCATGTTGCCCAGAAAGATTGTGGAGTCTCCATCCTTGGAGATGGTAAAACCTGATGAGGCACAATCCTGAGCAACTGACTTTCACCAGTGGGATTGGATTAGATAATCTCCAGAGATCCATTACAACCTTAACTTTCTCTAAGATTCTTCCCATCTTCTTTAAGAAAGTAACATCACCTAAACTACTTGGAAAACTCTGTGTTGTCCACAGTCACATTCATCTATCAGTTGTTTTCTTCTCTTTTCCAGAGTCCTGCTGACGTTTGCAGTTCTGTGCTTCAGAAGAAACCAAAGGATGCGTTTATGTAAACCATGAACAGACAAAGGGAAAAGAATGTGCTTGTCCTAAAAATACTGTTTAAGCATAAAGGTCTTGAGACCAAAAGCTACATGTATTTGCAGTGTAACTATGCACCATGAATGATGTATCTTGAATAATGCAAATGACCTTTTCTTTTGGTTCACATTATCTAGATTACCAGTCACTCCACCGTTTCTTAATTTGTACTCCTTTGTGACCTAACCAGTGCCAAATGGAGTAGAGAGATTGTCTAGTATGTTCTACAGACAGTTTTTGCATTTATGCATTTGAGTATGATTACTTTCTTTATAACGACTCACATTTATCTCATGATTCACTGTAATCTCTAGATCCTTTTCTGCAGAACTAGTTCCCATTGCTGCCCTTACAGTTGTGCACATGATTACACAGATCTGTGGGATATTGTGTGAATATAATTTTCCATTCTTTATAAGACTGCAGAATGCTTGCATGTGTGTGTTTTATTCTTTTGTTTTTATTTGTAAATCGGATCCTCTCTGTATAAATTGTGATCTTAACAGGAACTGAAATATCTAGCACTTCCCAAAGAAATGTAATCAAATACAAAGCAGTTGGTCAAATGAGCCATGATAGCAAATAACGTTACGAAGTATTTTCACACTATAGAGATTGTTGGCATATGATATTCGAGAAAAAAAGTTGCTCTTTAAATCTGTGTTTAATAAGGAAATGCTACTGCTAATCCTGGAAAAGAAAGGAGAGCAGTCATCTGTGAATCTACAAATTTCAATCAATTACATAGACATGTGAAAAAGATTAACTTTGAAAATTCAGCAGACATGGTCTGCTTAAATGCAAAACTTGACAACAACAAAAAAACTTGTTTCTATGGCAACATGTCAGGATCTTGTTTCCTTTCATCACTGGAGTTCTATAGTTGGATGAAATTGGAAATAATTCTTCTGCTAGAATCCTAATCTTTTAGAAATATGATTGTTTTTGTTCACTTCCATTAACATATTTTCTAATTCCAGCATTGTCTGCACACATGGAGAGGTTTTCATTTTCATATCCAAAATGCTATATGCAGGAAACAAGACTTTGTCACACTGCTCTATGTGTTAGCCTGCTCATAAACTCTGCAAAATTTTCATTCTATTATCCTACTAACAGAAGAAGAGTGAGCAGTAGGTATTGATCAGATTTTTTTTTCTTTCTTTTTTTTTTTTTCATATTACTTCTGGCGTATACGAAATCTCTCTGACCCATTATATTTCCCGAGATTCCTGGTTAAAAAACCCAATAACTTTATGATTACTGTATTCTGTTTACAGATATCACTTAAAACACATCTTGTAGATCATCAGTATACTGCTTTTCACTTAATGAAAGTGTAAATAACTGATGTCAGTGAATGGATTGGCTTAGTGAATAGAAAGGTTAAAGATAAATAATTAAGAGTGTAGCTGGTGGTTCGAGCACACAGCTACAAAGCTGACAGCTGTAAAAGCACATTAAATATGTGTATTACTGAATAGCCTGTGGGTCAGCAGGAGGGTGAGCGAAGAAATGGATCAATAAACATCAGATGTTTAACTATGGATTTTAGGAAACTATATGAATGAAACCTTGTGCATTAACAGGGAGCCACATCAGACAGCCATCAGTCTTTTTCTTGCTGATCCCTGTATTACAGGGGTCTTGCTGCCATCAGGCATTTGGACAGTAGTGGAAGAATTCTGCCACTCACAGCCATGGCAAAGCTTTTCTAACAGATTGATGGTTTGTATAAATTTTTGGAGAAATTTGAATGTGGATACCACTTAGCGATGATTGGTGCGTTTCTGACATGGGCTGGCTAAGCTGATAGCAGCAAAGAGGTAGTAGCAAAGAAGTTCTTTCTGGGTCCATGCTAATGTGGAGCTACCTTGAGAAGTAGGAACAACACGCACATTAGTTTGCTGGTCCTCTTAGGCCAATTTATAATACTACCAGATAAATTAATTTTAATTATTAATAGTTGGTCAGATATCCATGTAAGGCACTGTTTTGTATTAAGAGGCTGGGTAAAAAGCCAACAGCAGGAAATTGAGCTGCATGCACTTCTGAAATTAAATTCCCAGGATTCATCATACTTCCAATTGGACTCTGCATAATAGTTCTGATTCTCCATTTCAATAGGGCTCTGGACAGATGGAACTAAGGACAGTGCATCTATGTAGTTGCCTTAACAACCAAATTTGCAATCACCTCGAAGAATGAAATCAGGTTTGTGTGACATGACCTATTTTATGTAACACCATCTTGACTGGCATTAATTACGTTCTCATCCTTTAATTCTTTATTGCTCCAGTCCTGTATCAACTTTCTGTTATTTTACCTGATTTATCAGGGATAGATGTCAGACTATCTGAGAGTTACATGGGTCAATTTTCTCTTTAAACATTGGCACAATATTAGCAATCTTCTTAATGTTTTGAAATTTCTTCACTTTTCCAAGACTTATTAAAATTATCATTAGCAAGCAAAATATCATTAGCTTTTGAGTGCTGACTTTAAAATATTATTCCTTATAGATTACTCATTTAAAATATTAAA